CCTAAACATTTGTGCCACAATTATCACCTGAGTGATTAGGAACACTTAAGTGGTAAGCCATGACTTCCTGTTTCACTTGGGTATAAATATGAGGTGACACACTGGCCAAGTTCCCATAGTCATCCATCACAATGGGAAAGACCTGAGAATACAGTAATGATGTGCGACAAAAGGTTGTTGAGCTGCACAAATCAGGAAATGGCTATAAGAAAATAGCTTAACGGTTGAAAATACCCATTTCCACTATCAGGGCAATAATTAGGAAGTTTAAAGCAACTGGAGATGTTAACAATCGGCCTGGAAGAGGACGTGTCTATATTGACCCCACACACAGTGAGGAGGATGGTTAGAGTGGCCAAAAAATCTCCAAGGATCACAGCTGGACAATTGCAGACGTTAGTTGGGTCTTGGGGTCAGAAAGTCTCCAAAACTACGATCAGACATAACCAAAAGTTGTTTGGGAGGGTTGCCATAAAAAAGCCTTTGCTGTCATCAAACAACAAACACAAGCACCTACAGTTTGCCAAACGTTAGTGGAACTTTCAATGGGACCGGGTTCTATAGTCAGATGAGACCAAAATAGAGCTTTTTGGAAACAAACACCAGAGACAGAAAGATAGCTATGCAGAAAAGTACCTCATCCCCACTGTGAAGTATGGTGGTGGATCTTTGATGTTGTGGGGCTGTTTTTCTTCCAAAGGCCCTGGACAACTTGTTAGGATACATGGTATCATGGACTCCATCAAGTACTAGCAGATATTAAATCAAAACCTGACTGCCTCTGCCAGGAAGCTTAAACTGGGCCGTGGTTGGATCTTCCAGCAGGACAATGATCCAAAGCACACCTCAAAATCAACACAGAAATGGTTCACTGACCACAGAATCAAGGTTTTGCCATGACCATCCCAGTCCCGTGACCTAAACCCCATAGAAAACCTGTGGGATGAGCTGAAGAGGAGAGTCCATCAGCGTGGACCTCGGAATCTGAAGGATCTGGAGAGATTCTGTATGGAGGAATGGTCTCAGATCCCTTGCCATGTGTTCTCCAACCTCATTACGCATTATAGGGGAAGAGTAAAAATTCCCTGTCTTAGGTCAGTTAGGATCACTACTTTATTTTAAGAATGTGAAATGTCAGAATAATAGTAGAGAGAATTATTTATTTCAGCTTTTATTTATTTCATCACATTCCCAGTGGGTCAGAAGTTTACATACACTCAATTAGTATTTGGTAGCATTGCCTTTAAATTGTTTAACTTGGGTCAAACGTTTCGGGTAGCCTTCCACAAGCTTCCCACAATAAGTTGGGTGAATTTTGGCCCATTCCTCCTGACAGAGCTGGTGTAACTGAGTCAGGTTTGTAGGCCTCCTTGCTCGCACACGCTTTTTCAGTTCTGCCCACAAATTTTCTATAGGATTGAGGTCAGGGCTTTGTGATGGCCACTCCAATACCTTGACTTTGTTGTCCTTAAGCCATTTTGCCACAACTTTGGACGTATGCTTGGGGTCATTGTCCATTTGGAAGACCCATTTGCGACCAAGCTTTAACTTCCTTACTGATGTCTTGAGATGTTGCTTCAATATATTCACATAATTTTCCTTCCTCATGATGCCATCTATTTTGTGAAGTGCACCAGTCCCTCCTGCAGCGAAGCACCCCCACAGCATGATGCTGCCACCCCCGTGCTTCACGGTTGGGATGGTGTTCTTCGGCTGGCAAGCATTCCCCTTTTTCCTCCAAACATAACGATGGTCATTATGGCCAAACAGTTATATTTTTGTTTCATCAAACCAGAGGACATTTCTCCAAAAAGTACAATCTTTGTCCCAATGTGCAGTTGCAAACCGTAGTCTTGCTTTTTTATGGCGGTTTTGGAGCAGTGGCTTCTTCCTTGCTGAGCGGCCTTTCAGGTTATGTTGATATAGGACTCATTTTACTGTGGATATAGATACTTTTGTACCTGTTTCCTCCAGCATCTTCACAAGGTCCTTTACTGTTGTTCTGGGATTGATTTGCACTTTTCGCACCAAAGTACGTTCATCTCTAGGAGACAGAACGCGTCTCCTTCCTGAGCGGTATGACGGCTGCGTGGTCCCATGGTGTTTATACTTGCATACTATTGTTTGTACAGATGAACGTGGTACCTTCAGGTGTTTGGAAATTGCTCCCAAGGATGAACCAGACTTGTGGAGGTCTACAATTTTCTTTCTGAGGTCTTGGCTGATTTCTTTTGATTTTCCCATGTCAAGCAAAGAGGCACTGAGTTTGAAGGTAGGCCTTGACATACATCCACAGGTACACCTCCAATTGACTCAAATGATGTCAATTAGCCTATCAGAAGCTTCTAAAGCCATGACATCATTTTCTGGACTTTTCCAAGCTGTTTAAAGGCACAGTCAACTTAGTGTATGTAAACTTCTGACCCACTGGAATTGTGATACAGTGAATTATAAGTGAAATAATCTGTCTGTACACAATTGTTGGAAAAATTACTTGTGTCATGCACAAAGTAGATGTCCTAACCAACTATAGTTTGTTAACAAGAAATTTGTGGAGTGGTTGAAAAACTAGTTTTAATGACTCCAACCTAAGTGTATGTAATCTTCCGACTTCAACTGTATGAAGAAGTCTCTCGTGAAATGGACCCGTACTGTATGTTCTCTTATATGTTTCTCTACAGAGACGTCTGATCCATGAGATTAAGATGGTCCTGAGGGTTCTGGTGCTCTACATCCCTCTGCCCATGTTCTGGGCTTTGTTTGACCAGCAGGTAAGGACCCAATGCTTACCCTAACCCTAACCAGCTAGGACCTTCCTCAATAGAACAGTGACCACCACCCTAGCTGTTAAAAAGCCCCTAAGCAATACCTTTCATGGTTCCGAAACCTGCGATTCAGGACAATACAGTAGATATGGACCAAGTAAAGACAAAACGGTTTGAAATGACATAATTTAAACCAGATTACAACCCTTTACTTTTTTTAATGACATTATTTCAACCATATTACGACCCTTTACTTTTTTAAATGTCATTATTTCATCCAGATTACAACCCTTTACTTTTTGTAATGACATTATTTCAACCAGGTTTGCCCTCTGGGACCCCAAGTTCAGCTTGCCTCACTGCTTGGTCTCGAGGCATTGTCAGACCCGTCGCCAGACCTCAGTCTTAAGGGTGGCATATGAAATGCATGGGAGGGCAGGGTACAATTATTATTAGCCTACAGTACGTATATTTATAATAATCATATACTCTATTTGCGCAGCACGTTATAATCACATTAAACATAACCAACAGCAATATGACAAGGTAGCCTATAGCCTACACCACATTACATAGAAGCAATGTTATGAATATCCATAAAACACTTGACTATACAACATATTAGATGTAACAGCAGAAGCATCTCTCATACATTGCATTTTAAAGCAGTCAACAGAGGGATATGCATTGCCATGAGACACACACACACACACGCACGCATATACAGTGAGGGAAAAAAGTATTTGATCCCCTGCTGATTTTGTACGTTTGCCCACTGACAAAGAAATGATCAGTCTATAATTTTAATGGTAGGTTTATTTGAACAGTGAGAGACAGAATAACAACAACACAATCCAGAAAAACGCATGTCAAAAATGTTATAAATTGATTTGCATTTTAATGAGGGAAATAAGTATTTGACCCTTCTGCAAAACATGACTTAGTACTTGGTGGCAAAACCCTTGTTGGCAATCACAGAGGTCAGACGTTTCTTGTAGTTGGCCACCAGGTTTGCACACATCTCAGGAGGGATTTTGTCCCACTCCTCTTTGCAGATCTTCTCCAAGTCATTAAGGTTTCGAGGCTGACGTTTGGCAACTCGAACCTTCAGCTCCCTCCACAGATTTTCTATGGGATTAAGGAGACTGGCTAGGCCACTCCAGGACCTTAATGTGCTTCTTCTTGAGCCACTCCTTTGTTGCCTTGGCCGTGTGTTTTGGGTCATTGTCATGCTGGGATACCATCCACGACCCATTTTCAATGCCCTGGCTGAGGGAAGGAGGTTCTCACCCAAGATTTGATGGTACATGGCCCCGTCCATTGTCCCTTTGATGTGGTGAAGTTGTCCTGTCCCCTTAGCAGAAAAACACCCCCAAAGTATAATGTTTCCACATCCATGTTTGATGGTGGGGATGGTGTTCTTGGGGTCATAGGCAGCATTCCTCCTCCTCCAAACACGGCGAGTTGAGTTGATGCCAAAGAGCTCGATTTTGGTCTCATCTGACCACAACACTTTCACCCAGTTCTCCTCTGAATCATTCAGATGTTCATTGGCAAACTCAACGGGCCTGTATATGTGCTTTCTTGAGCAGGGGGACCTTGCGGGCGCTGCAGGATTTCAGTCCTTCACGGCGTAGTGTGTTACCAATTGTTTTCTTGGTGACTATGGTCCCAGCTGCCTTGAGATCATTGACAAGATCCTCCCGTGTAGTTCTGGGCTGATTCCTCACCATTCTCATGTTCATTAAAACTCCACGAGGTGAGATCTTGCATGGAGCCCCAGGCCGAGGAAGATTGACAGTTATTTTGTGTTTCTTCCATTTGCGAATAATCGCACCAACTGTTGTCACCTTCTCACCAAGCTGCTTGGCGATGGTCTTGTAGCCCATTCCAGCCTTGTGTAGGTCTACAATCTTGTCCCTGACATCCTTGGAGAGCTCTTTGGTCTTGGCCATGGTGGAGAGTTTGGAATCTGATTGATTGATTGCCTCTGTGGACAGGTGTCTTTTATACAGGTAACAAGCTGAGATTAGGAGCACTCCCTTTAAGATCGAGCTCCTAATCTCAGCTCGTTACCTGTATAAAAGACACCTAGGAGCCAGAAATCTTTCTGATTGAGAGGGGGTCAAATACTTATTTCCCTAATTAAAATGCAAATCAATTTATAACATTTCTTACATGCGTTTTTCTTGATTTTTTTGTTGTTATTCTGTCTCTCACTGTTCAAATAAACCTACCATAACAATTATAGACTGATCATTTCATTGTGAATGGGCAAACGTACAAAATCAGCAGGGGATCAAATACTTTTTTCCCTCACTGTACACACACACAGAGAGACTTTGAACCTACCGGTACTTTGAGTGGAGGCAGCGCTGTCCTCTCTCCAGTCCCTCCTGTCAGTACAGCGGGAGGCGGCGTTTCTCCGAGCAGAACCTCCTCATCAAAGTATCCTTCCACTCGGACTTAAACTTGTGAGTGAGGTCCTTTTCAAAAGCAAGCTGAATCAGCTGGGCCTTGCGTCTGTGCAGCATACTGCGCCGATGCTCTGAGAAGACGCTTTTGAGCGTGGAAAATGAGTTTTCACACATTGCTGTGGAAGCTCCTAAAGTTAGGGCAAGTGTGTAGGCTGTGAGAACAGTCGGCATAGCCTGGAGTGCACAGTTGAATGTGCTGAGGATGTTGGCTATTGTCCATTTTCCATCTTCGGGGGGAACCGGAGTGTCAGTCATTTTCTTCACCAGGAACTCACGAGCCACAGTATATTCAGATTCAACCACATCAGTTCCAGCTAATACCAGGAGAGGAGTTACCTTTGATGGGTCCAGGAAATTATCCTCGGCCTCTGGGTTCAAAGCAGCCAGTGCGCCAATGAGCTCGCTACAGCGCTCTCCAAAACGCGCATTCATCTCTCCTTGCACAGCATCGATAACACTGTAAAACAATCTCATGAACTCAGTCTTTTCATCTATGTCACTTTGTGGCTGACCAACTGTTTCTTCAACTGCAAATCCGCGGAGGTTCTTATTAATTGTGCGTCTTCTCTTGCTTGGACCAGGGTTGGTCACCGGCACAGCCTCGGTGGCCGATGCTGGAGGAGCGCAGAGATCCCACAGTGCAGAAAACTCGTTTTCTGTGCGCAGTGTCTTCACGCAGTCAGAAGCGCTGTTCACTAGTGTCACCACAGTGAACAAGTCCATATCTTCGGCCTGTAGTAGTCTGTTAGGCGGCTCGAAAAGTGACAACAGTTTCATAACAAGGTGCACAATGAAAAGAAAACTGCGCTGCGTAATGGCACAAAGCAGCCCCGTAGCCTCGACGCGCACCTCCGCTCCAAGGCCTCGTGTGTTTTCCACCTCGGTCAGTAATGTGGATATGTCGTGAAAACTCTTCACCACAACTTTGACCGTTGCCAAGTGGCCAGTCCATCTCTGGTCCAAGAGACGTTTCAGGGTATCGCCTTTGTACAGAATTGCCACGGTTGGCTTCCTGATAAAGTTGTACAGCATGTTGCAACTCCCAAAAAATCATTGACAGCTGCTTCACTGGACATGGCATGAATCACAACCAGATGAAGTTGGTGATTAAAGCAGTGAATATATGGTATGTTACGATCCAGCTTGTTTTGGAGCAATTTCTGCACACCACCATGCCTGCCAGACATGAGTGATGTGTCATCATAAACTTGACTCAGGATTTTGTCCGTGCTGAGTCCGGCGCTGGTGAGCTCATCAATGATGACACCTGTCAGAGCCTCTGCATCACCTTTCTCAGATGTGGCCATTACCAAGAGGCGCTCACACAGACCATAGTTTTTGTCAACAAAACGCACAACTACAGATATGTTTTCTTGGCCTAAAGGATCCCGTGTGCCATCCACTATAATTGAATACCAGCTATCGCCGACTTGTCTCACTATCTCCTCTGTCACGAGTTTGCTCATCATTTAGATAATCTCGTTTTGTATCTGTGGGCTGGTATAGCGTGCATTCTGTGGGATTGTTTTTGTAATCCGTGTCAGTTCGGGATCGTTGCGCATGGTGTACTCAAAGAGAGACAAAAACAGCCCCATTGAGCTATTATCATCTAGCACACTGGCAAAACCAGCATTATCTCCACGTAACGGCAATTGATTCACCACTAAAAACTCCAGCATATCAATTACAGCTGACATGTAGTATCTGTTGTGAGCCAGTTGCTCTGAATTTAAGAGAGTGGAAATATATTTTCCTGTCTCTCTACGTTTTTCTGAATCTCTCCACATTGCTTCACAGGCTAAATGTTCTTTTGAAGCTGCATGCTTATTTAAGCCCTTGCCTGTTCCAATTGCATGTTTCCAATCATTAAATCCCTTAATGGAGAAGGTCGCGTCCGATGATACAGATTTGAATTTCCTGCATGCATAACAAAATGCAGAGTCCTTTTCCACCGAGTACTCAAGCCAGTCCCTGTTCAAATACCAGCTAGAGGGAAATGATCGTTTTTTTTAACCAAACATTTTGACTGGATATTTCCTCAACACAACCTGTTTGGGTTTGTCCATGCCGAGGTCACTCACACCCACTGATTCAACAGGTAGTTGTGGCCCAAATGCTGCCCCAGTCGCGGTTGCACTTGACCTGCAGGTCCTGCCAGGCCCAGGGTCGGACTCCACGGAGCTACTAGCATCAGGCTCAGACTGTCGTCCAGGGTCTCCTTCTCCAACTACAACATCAGGAGGCGTCGGTGTCGTATCCAATTTGGCAGAGGAGACTGTTGGTGGGCTTTTCAACCACTTACGGATATCCATGACGAACTGAAGCGAAGCGAGTAAACTCATCCAGCTTTCAAAAATGCGCGGTAACTGTTGAGCGGCTACACTGACGTAGGCTACGTCACGTACGTAGCCTAACTTTCTTTTTATTAAGGCTGTGATAGGCTGTTGCAGTGTAGATTCCCATCAATCAAACAAAATCACACCATTGTTTCTTTATATTTTTTATGTTTTAATGATAAAGAATGCAACATTAATGCAACACAAAATTAGCAACTATTATAATATAAAATGGAAGTAATTTTTTTAAGAGATCTGTGCCTCAAGTGGGGGGGGCACAAGCATTTTTGGGGGCAGGCCCGGCCCCCTATGGCCCGCCCATAGCGACGGGTGTGGGCATTGTTCTGGTGTCTCCTCTCCTCTCCTCTCCTCTCCTCTCATCTCCTCTCATCTCCTCTCTTCTCATCTCCTCTCCTCTGGCCAACGACCAAACAACTCCACAATACCAACTGATTAAGGAAAACTGCAAAACTGCAAACCCCCAAACCACATCCATCCAACCTTCCCTAACCCAGACTCCCTGGGCACATTCCTCTGATAAAACACTGTGATTAAAACTAACAAGAACAAAAACCTCCATCATAGTTTTAAATGAACCGAATGTATGTTGTTTATAGGCAAGAACAGGTCTGATTATGCTATTGAAGCGAATGGTGATGGTGAACCAGCTATCCAGTGCCATAGAATACAGTGAATGGGCCAGTGATAACATTTAGTCTCCTTTGTTATGTGGTACTGTAGGGATCCCGCTGGACTCTCCAGGCAACCCGGATGAACATGGCCTTCGTAAGTTCCTTTGTCTTTCTTTCAATGTACAGTACATTACAACAGTGGTATTAGTTCCTTTCCTTTTCTAGCTTTTGAAACGGTGTAACAATGTGCTCTACAACTGTGGTAAAAGTGTACAACATTTATGATTTCATAGTATTTTGCAATGTTTTACTATCGTTGACTGTAATCTGAAATAGAGATCTTGTTTGGAATCTGTCTGGAGATCTTGTTTGGAATCTGTCTCTATGTTACAGGGATCAACATTCGTCCTGAAGCCTGATCAAATGCAGGTGCCTGCAGCTCCTTACACTCTTCCTGACATTACACAATGCATTACTCCTGCAGATGATGTTTATACTGTAACTGTAACCATAGGTTCTCTCTATCATGGCCTTGAGTAAGATCACCCCTGTTCTCTCCTGAACCCTTTTATAATGGAGATTATCACCATAATGCTATCTCGTTATTGACTAAATACATTTAGCAAGAATATTTACTAGTGTCTTTTCTCAGTTTGCTGCAGCAACCTATATGTTTTTATGGTATTTTTTTGTGATTTTATATTGAATCATCAGAAGGTATGTTTCCTGTGTTTTGTTCTTCCTTGTTCTTTCAGATGTTAAACGCTCTGCTGATCCTCATGTTTGTGCCTATCTTTGACATGGTTGTGTACCCACTCATAGGCCTTTGCAGGATCAATCTCACGTGAGTGGACCATGGCTGTGTCTGAAAACGTTACTATGTAGCTGTCAAATCCTTGCCTCCACTGTCCTTATTTCCTCACTTTGTCTCAAAGCTCATTGGATGAGGATACCGGAGGGAGCTTGGACCTCGGCTCTTGGATCCTCTCTTCCAATGAGCTTCAAGAGGAATTGTGGAAACAAGGACAGAGGAAGAAAGGGTTTGACGGATAGTGACATTTTCAGACACAGCCCGTCTCTAAACGAGCTGGAGCTTTAGCTGACGGCAGCCACTATAGCCTTCAACAGTCACTATTCATGAGGAAACTAATGGAGTAAGGAATGGTGCAAGAACAAGCATCATGTGGGTTAGACATCCTTTTTCATGCGCCTCTTGGTCATAAAGAAAACATTTGTAGCTGTTTTTCTACCGTAACTTGTGATCTTATCACGTCATCGAGATGAATGGAAGATACGTGGAAACAATGTTATGCAAACATCTTATGTACTCCTACAGAAAGAGAAAACAATTGACCACATGAATCATTTCTAAGAATGGAAACAGTTGTTATTGTGTAGTAGCTACTGTGTAGTTCTGTGTAGTAGGGACAATATTGACCGATGGGCGTTGACCGTCAAGTTGTCTTATTGGAGTCCATAGGTGTGTGGTTTAGAGACAGAATGCCTGATGCCGTCTCCATCTCCCCTTAGGCCGCTGAAGAAGATGGCTGTTGGTATGATCTTTGCAGCGCTGGCCTTCGGTGCTGCCACCTTGGTGGAGGTCAACGTCATGGTAAGACACAGCATCTCTGGTAGAGGAGGCTGGTGGAAGGAGCTATAGGATTATTGTAATGGCTGGAATGGGATAGATGGAACCGGTGGCAGGTAGCTTAGTGGTTAAGAGCGTTGTGCCAGTAACCGAAAGGTCGCTGGTTCTAATCCCCAAGCCGACTAGGTGAAAAATCTGTCGATGTGCCCTTGAGCAAGGCACTTAACCCTAATTGCTCCTGTAAGTCACTCTGGATAAGAGCATCTGCTAAATGACGCAAACGCATCAAACATATGGAAACCACGTTTGACTCCGTTCCATTCATTCCATTACAATGAGCCCATCCTCCTATAGCTCCTCCCACCAGCCTCTTCTGATCTCTGGGTCACTTTACTTTCTTAGGCGACACTCCAGGTCATCTTTTCTGCACAGATGGCCAGATCTCACAATGCCTGGAGAAGTGTTTAGTGTAGCAGGAACAACATTCATATGTTATAGCAAACTCCTGAGATGCAACTGTAAGAAAAAAAAAAAAGACAACCTGGATTGCCACCTTTGTAACAGACAGTCACCTGTCCTCTATTGTCCTCTGATGTCCCCTCTCTCTATTCCTCTGCTAGAAAACGGTGGTGGAGCCTGCGCCTAAAGGACAGTGTCTGCTACAGGTCTACAACCTGGCTGACAGTGACGTCAAACTAAGCATCCCCGGGAGTAACCTATTCTCACAATCCATCAAATCCTATGAGGTAAACTGGGCTGGGGAGTTTTAACTTAACTCTGCTATGCTAATAATGCTGTGTGTTTATTAACCCTGACCTCATAGAAAGCAGACCTACCAGATAGGATTGCCCTGAGACATGGCTGTAGACTCCATAGATGCTCCATAGTCTGACATCATAGGAGTCTACAGCTACATCTCAAGGCAACAGATAGGAGTGTGTTCTGAGGTCAATAGGTCCATTGTTCTAAAGCTATTACAGCCAGACCTGGGTTCAAATACTATTTGAAATCTTTAAAATCCCTTTAGTTTGCTTTAGCCTGCCTGGAGTGCTAGATGGGCGGAGTTTGCCGTTTTGTGACTATTTTATTGGTTCCATTGTGCCAGGAAAGCTTGATCAAGCCCAGTTGAAGTATTTGAAATAACCAGGTCTGATTAGCGCTGGACATGAACCCTGTCAATACAATGAATAAACATGCCTCTATGTCTATCAGGATCCTCAAGCATATCAGCATCTTGAACTGGGGGGACACAACAAGACCATCACTGTGGGGATCAATCACAATGGACACTTTCATGAGTGTAGAGAGACCTTCACAGAGCTGAAAGCCTACAGTCTCATCCTGCACAGCAAAACCTCGGGAATAGTGTGTCAACTAGTGAGTCAGAAGTTCACATTATAATCTTACAGTTCTGTACTTTCAGTCACTACAGAAATAATTTCTGTATTTGCAATAATCTGTTTCTGTTTTCTATCTTTTTTAATTTTTTTTATAATATAGGCGACAGACAACATACTTAAAAGTGAAAAAATGTTAGCATACCTGAGGTAATTATGTGTTTATGTTTGAATTGAAATGGGAGACAGAATAAGACTCCATCGGACAGACTGACTTCAGTTAGTTTAATGAATATACTGTAAAGATTCAAATATTGCTCTAACAGGTTCATAAACACGCGGAGCGAGGCTGTGAACGTAACAGTGGGTGGTGTGGACTTTTACATACCCGCTGACTATGGCATATCTCCCAATAAGAGTGTGGAAAGAAACGAGTGAGTATGAGTCGCGAGTGGTCATATTTCTGTTCCATTGCAGTTCATCTTAAAATAGTATAGTGTCTCTTCCTAGTCCACTGACAAAGCATTCAATAATAATTTTCTAACATTGAACATCTGATGGATATAGTAATACATCAGAAATAGATACAGTCCACAGGAGGCTGGTGACACCTTAATTGGGGCGGACGGGCTCGTGGTAATGGCTGGAGCGGAATAATTGGAATGAAATCATGGTTTCCATGTGTTTGATGCCATTCCATTTGCTTCGTTCCAGCCATTATTATGAGCTGTCCTCCCCTCAGCAGCCTCCACTGATACAGTCAGTACAGATCTCTTTTACCTCTGCCCTCTCTAAATCCTTCACTTATGCCATCTCTCACAGGTACAGAAACGTGAGGTGTACATCAGGCTCACAGGATTTCTCCATCAACCTGGGCCTGCTTGACTATGGAGCCTCGTACACCGTCATTCTCAAAGGGGTGAGTCAGCCCAGTGGCTTTACATGAGACCACAAAATACCATACTGTAGGTACTATTAAGTGCTGCCTGCTACGGCCTGAAACCACATTGGCGGTATAAATACCTGGACTAGCACAGTACTAGCTACCTAGTAAGTTACCTTTAGTAAGTGTATGTGATCCCTGCGGGAATTGAACCCATGACCTTGGCATTGCTCGCATCGTCAGTGCCTGCTCTGCAGACAGTACTCACAACCACCTTTACTTTTTTCCAGGGCCCTGGAGAGATCATTCCCCAGAAGATGGAGGATGTGAAGGTCATAATTTTTTTTTTTCTCTCTGTATTGTTGGGAAGGGCCCATAAGTAAGCATTTCACTGTTAGTCTACATCTGTTGTTTACCAAGCATGTGATTAAATAATTTTTGATTTATTTGTGAAGGCCAACAACGTTCACATAGCCTGGCAGATCCCCCAGTACGTCCTGATGACAGCAGGAGAAGTCATGTTCTCCATCACAGGCCTCGAGTTCTCCTACTCACAGGTCAGTAGTTCTCCTACTCACAGGCCTCGAGTTCTCCTACTCACAGGTCAGTAGTTCTCCTATTCACAGGCCTCGAGTTCTCCTACTCACAGGTCAGTAGTTATCCTACTCACAGTTCAGTAGTTCTTCTAGTCACAGGCCTTGAGTTCTCCTACTCACAGGTCAGTAGTTCTCCTACTCACAGGCCTCGAGTTCTCCTACTCACAGTTCAGTAGTTCTCCTACTCACAGGTCAGTAGTTCTCCTACTCACAGGTCAGTAGTTCTCCTACTCACAGGTCAGTAGTTCTCCTACTCACAGGCCTCGAGTTCTCCTACTCACAGTTCAGTAGTTCTCCTACTCACAGTTCAGTAGTTCTCCTACTCACAGGTCAGTAGTTCTCCTACACACAGGTCAGTAGTTCTCCTACTCACAGGTCAGTAGTTCTTCTAGTCACAGGTCAGTAGTTCTTCTAGTCACAGGCCTCGAGTTCTCCTACTCACAGGTCAGTAGTTCTCCTACTCACAGGCCTCGAGTTCTCCTACTCACAGGTTAGTAGTTCTCCTACTCACAGTTCAGTAGTTCCCCTACTCACAGTTCAGTAGTTCTCCTACTCACAGGTCAGTAGTTCTCCTACTCACAGGCCCAGTGGCGGCTCCTGAAAAAATTCTCAGGAGGGGCAATTTTTCTGATGATTTAGGTGACCTACACACATTTAAAAAAAGATATGTCCAGCAACAACATGAAGACAGGGGCAGCATATAAGTCAATACCAGAAGCATTTATTGACTGATCTCAAAAGTGTTGGCTTACCAGGGTTGGTGGAGCCCTCAGTTTCATCTTTGCCTCGCAAAGCTAACTCAAACACTCCGCAAAACTTCACACACTGGATTAGCCGGCTGAGGATGTGGCGGTTCTTGCTAATGTCGTAGTAAATATATTTGTTATAGTGAATATGGAATATGATATGTTGAGTAAAATGTTGTGCTAAGATCTATTTAGGTCAGGAGCTGGTTATAAGTTCTGTTCCTATCCAATAACAATGGACAAAAGGGTCCTATCTTGTCAGCCTTGTCAGCAGGTGGCCAAGGACAACACCCACGCCATAGGCCTCTCAGTTCTTCCAACTCACGAGTTCTTGCTCTGAGGACACACAAACACACACACACACACATCATCACTGTTAAACACACACACACATCATCACTGTTAAACACACACACACACACACACACAAAAATCCCCTCTCTTAGGATGAACATTTGAAGACAGAGAACCCGACTCAGAGCCAATGCAACAGTGACAGTAGCCTGGAGGTGACCTCGCCCAACTCATCAGGACCAATCAGAAGATCAGAACTACTAGATTGAACCTACTTCATTTATTGCATAAAATGTCTGCACACAATGTTTCGGGGCTCTCTTCAGATAATAATAATAATAATAATAATAATAATATGCCATTTAGCAGACGCTTTTATCCAAAGCGACTTACAGTCATGCGTGCATACATTTTTGTGTATGGGTGGTCCCGGGGATTGAACCCACTACCTTGGCGTTACAAGCACCATGCTCTACCAGCTGAGCTACAGAAAGTGGATACTCATGGATGCGCATTGCAATTGTAAAATGTCAACACAATTGGAGACACCACGTCATTTTTGGAGACATGTTATTGACAGTAAACTATTGTAGATGCGACTGCTAACTAAATAAAACATTTTAGCTGGCTAGCTAATCATCTTAGCTAAATGTGGGGCAAACAATTCAGTTATTTACCGTTAATTTTAGGGATTGGGGTGAAAGAAATCGAGTTACATAGTGATACTTTACGATATACTGTATTGACAATATCGCAATATTTTAGCGCTAGTTGGCTGTACCTGCACCAAAACACCATTATTGTTCCTTCATAGCTTGTTCTCAATCTTTTCACATTGGGAGCCAATTTGTTTTCAGCACTTTTATTTCCATGACTGATCAAAACTCGTTCTCATGGCTTTCTGATCCCTCTGCAACAGACATATGGTGCGCAATAAAATCACAGTATCGAATCGCAATACGTATAGAATCATGAGACTCGCAATGCTGATGCATATATCTTATCGTGAGGTTCCTGGCAATTCCCAGCCCAAGTTCATTTGCCACAACAAATCTCTTCGCTAGCAAACGCGATGTCTTCTCCAAAACGGCAATGTGTCTCCAGCAATGTTTACTTTTTTGACGTTCTATGGCATCTCCACTTTCCAAGCATATATGACCACATGTAATATTTTGGTAAGTGATGCAAATAGTGAACTATGTAGGGCCAGGATGTAAAATATATGTAGCTGCAGCAATTTCTCTTATCTGATATGGTAAGTAATGGGGCTTAATTTATAGCTCCCTAAGAGTTTGACGAACGGGTCCGTGAACGCGATTCCAGATATATTTACCTCTGAATAAACTGCCTTTATTACACCATATCCACCCTGTCCAAAGTCTCTACTTGGTCTCAGTTGGTTCTCCAGTAAACTTGTGATTATCAACACTAACCTCATCGTTGTGGCGGCGGACAGCTAGCCTGTATCCCTCGTCATCCAGTTGAGTGAGTGGCAATGTCTTTTTTCGTTCGTACCAATTTTTGGAAAATCCTCGGGTGTAGGACTTTCCGCCTTTAGTAGAAACCTGTTGAATTATTAAATTTGGTCTGGGAGGTCCTAATTGTTTCGTTGCCAATTTATCTTCATTTGTTCGCCGACAAAAAGGAACTTCTTTCAAACAATCCACTCTTTTCTCAGTTACGTTCATGGTTACGTAACGTATGACGAAAGCGCGTAAGTGCAAGCCCACAGACACCCATTGAGATTGTATTGAAGGCTCTGAAATTTGAAAAAAATAGATTTTACATGGGAGTCTATGACAGACTTCTGGGCGATTTTCAACCTGACTGAAATCGCCCCAAAAGGGGGGGGAGCCATTTGAAGCACGACTTTAGCCTGATTCGACATTTAGTGGCAGTGTGGCACTGTGGCAGATCAGACGTATAGATTACAACACTGATAACTACTGTTGCCGTGATATAATTGATTAGAAAAAAAATCCCTTCCTTTTCCCGTTTGGCAGTGCGTCGCCCATATCGCCCTATTGAACAGGCCGCCCCTGCACAGGCCTCGAGTTCTCCTACTCACAGTTCAGTAGTTCTCCTACTCACAGTTCAGTAGTTATCCTACTCACAGGTCAGTAGTTCTCCTACTCACAGGTCAGTAGTTCTCCTAGTCACAGGTCAGTAGTTCTTCTAGTCACAGGTCAGTAGTTATCCTACTCACAGGTCAGTAGTTATCCTACTCACAGGTCAGCAGTGATTATTGATTGAATATTGGTTGAGTATTGACTAATAAACCTCAAATGCCTACATAGGCACCTCTGTAGATCTGAAAGAATTGGTCCAGTATGATGAACACCTAGCTTATACCAACCAGAAACCTTTCAGATCTACAAGAAGTACCTAGGGGGTATAGACGGCTAGGGGTTGATTATTAGGACTTCAGCCTCTACAAGGAGATCAGGTTTGAGTACAGAACATGTGATCTGTTGTCCCTGCTTTTCCCTGCCAATGATAAACAATATCTAGGTATATGTTCAATACAGGCCCCAGCCAACATGAAGTCAGTGCTGCAGGCCGGCTGGCTGCTGACTGTAGCCTTTGGCAATGTCATCGTGCTGATCGTAGCAGAGGGGGCAGGTCTGAATCAGGTAAGTCCCAGTCCAGTGGTAGAAGACTGCTTGGTTTTTACTGTGCCTTTTAGGAAACATTGTTAGTGCACCATTGAACCCATAGACCTTATAAAGCAGTTAAAAACAGTCAAACAGAACAGTGTCTGCAGTAGTCCACTAGAGGGAACCAAATCACAACAATAATAAGGTCTTGTTCACTTTCTCTCTCAAGCTTGAGTGGTGAGTACACCAGGATAATAAATATGGCTATCAAATAATGACCATAGTCCCCAGTGTTAAATGTGTTTAACATTGATTCTGACATTCCCAGTGGATGGAGTTCCTGCTGTTCGCTGGCCTCCTGGTGGCAGTTTGCATCATCTTCTCCATCATGGCTTACTTCTACACCTACGTAGACCCAGATGAGCTAGACAAGCTGTTCCCAGACAAGACAGTCAATGAGGATGAAGATGGCCTGAAGAAGGACCAGACAGACCACATGGACCAGACGGACGACACTATGTACTTGAACACAACAGAGAAGAGCACCAAGATGTAGTATGGTGACTGACTTCAGACTATTTCCCTCTCAAGAGACTTGTATGCCCCTATTGTGGAATGTTTTATTTTTTATTTTTTTAAAATACATTTGTAAATCAAAGCAAAGTATTAAGATGTGGTGAATGGTGATTGAGTGTATTTTACTTGCTGAGCCCTACTGTATGTAGTTAGTTATTGTCGAACCCTGTCTGTGTGATCTTACAGTATGTACTGACCAGAGTTAGCACTCCAACCGAGACACTTCTCAAAATCCGGAGGTCAAACCAGGACCAGTGTTAACAAAACACATTGTTGAAATGCTGTATGGCAAAATATACATTTTATTTTTGTGAATTTATAAAAATGTACTGTACATAGTGAAGTGAATTCACCTGTTTATAATGATGTTCAAAGATGAAAACAGACTCTTGTAGTTAATGATAAACAAAAACAACACAATAACAGAACACTGAAAAGTGTCCCTCTTTAGCAGGCATGGAACTTAAGGATTTGGGGTACTGGCCAGCCGGTCTAGTACACCACCATTTTTACTAGTCCTGGTCTAAAATCAGTGCTATGCGAAATTTGAAAACATTTCAAAATGTACTAGGCTCGGGCTAGCGGTCTAGTTTAATATCCATCCCTACTCTTTAGACTGGCTACCTGAGACAAATACTGGCGCAGACTTAACTCCAGTATTACTTGACTAAAAGAGCCTCATTCAAATGACAAACTATGAGTCAGGGAAAAATCTCAAGACACACTAGACAAGACATGCTGCTCCTAATCATTTGATAGATATACCTTCATAAAACGTTCCACTCCTGAGAACCATTTTACTGTAATTTTACTCTTGTAGTATATCAATAAAAAGGTGTAAATTTCTCTGAATATGATCATTTTATTTCTGATGGTGTCACTAGAAAGCTTACTACTCTTACGGTTTTGCTGGGCTAGCTCATTGTTGGTGGAGCTTACATGTTTATAGTCTTTATTCATTCAGAGCTTTGGCACTTGAGGTTTCCTTCCCTTATCACAGACCCAGGACTTTAGACAGACAAAAAACACACCACTTCCTGGTAACTGGGACATATCACATCCATCACTCCTTAGACAACATTCATTAATCACAATACCATAACAGGCTGCCTTTCTAACATTCTCATATCTTCACCCCAAATGGCACCCTATTCCCTATAGTATATACAGTGAGGGAAAAAAGTATTTGATCCCCTGCTGATTTTGTACGTTTGCCCACTGACAAAGAAATGATCAGTCTATAATTTTAATGGTAGGTTTATTTGAACAGTGAGAGACAGAATAACAACAAAAAAATCCAGAAAAACGCATGTAAAAAATGTTATAAATTGATTTGCATTTTAATGAGGGAAATAAGTATTTGACCCCCTCTCAATCAGAAAGATTTCTGGCTCCCAGGTGTCTTTTATACAGGTAACGAGCTGAGATTAGGAGCACACTCTTAAAGGGACTGCTCCTAATCTCAGTTTGTTACCTGTTTAAAAGACACCTGTCCACAGAAGCAATCAATCAATCACATTCCAAACTCTCCACCATGGCCAAGACCAAAGAGCTCTCCAAGGATGTCAGGGACAAGATTGTAGACCTACACAAAGCTGGAATGTGCTACAAAACCATCGCTAAGCAGCTTGGTGAGAAGGTGACAACAGTTGGTGCGATTATTCGCAAATGGAAGAAAAACAAAATAACTGTCAATCTCCCCCGGCCTGGGGCTCCATGCAAGATCTCACCTCGTGGAGTTGCAATGATCATGAGAACGGTGAGGAATCAGCCCAGAACTACACGGGAGGATCTTGTCAATGATCAAGGCAGCTGGGACCATAGTCACCAAGAAAACAATTGGTAACACACTACGCAGTGAAGGACTGAAATCATGCAGCGCCCGCAAGGTCCCCCTGCTCAAGAAAGCACATATACAGGGCCGTCTGAAGTTTGCCAATGAACATCTGAATGATTCAGAGGAGAACTGGGTGAAAGTGTTGTGGTCAGATGAGACCAAAATCGAGCTCTTTGGCATCAACTCAACTCGCCGTGTTTGGAGGAGGAGGAATGCTGCCTATGACCCCAAGAACACCATCCCCACCGTCAAACATGGAGGTGGAAACATTATGCTTTGGGGGTGTTTTTCTGCTAAGGGGACAGGACAACTTCACCGCATCAAAGGGACGATGGATGGGGCCATGTACCGTCAAATCTTGGGTGAGAACCTCCTTCCCTCAGCCAGGGCATTGAAAATGGGTCGTGGATGGGTATTCCAGCATGACAATGACCCAAAACACACGGCCAAGGCAACAAAGGAGTGGCTCAAGAAGAAGCACATTAAGGTCCTGGAGTGGCCCAGCCAGTCTCCAGACCTTAATCCCATAGAACATCTGTGGAGGAAGCTGAAGGTTCGAGTTGCCAAACGTCAGACTCGAAACCTTAATGACTTGGAGAAGATCTGCAAAGAGGAGTGGAACAAAATCCCTCCTGAGATGTGTGCAAACCTGGTGGCCAACTACAAGAAACGTCTGACCTCTGATTGCCAACAAGGGTTTTGCCACCAAGTACTAAGTCAAGTTTTGCAGAGGGGTCAAATATTTATTTCCCTCATTAAAATGCAAATCAATTTATAACATTTTTGACATGTGTTTTTCTGGAATTTTTGTTGTTATTCTGTCTCTCACTGTTCAAATAAACCTACCATTAAAATTATAGACTGATCATGTCTTTGTCAGTGGGCAAACGTACAAAAATCAGCAGGGGATCAAATACTTTTTTCCCTCACTGTAGTGCACCACTTTAGACCAGAGCCCTGGTCTATAGTGGAAGAGTAGCCGCTGGAAGAGTAGCTCCAGGTTGGCAGCAGCTAATTGGTGATCCTAATAAAATACTAAAAAGTACTAAAAAGGAGTGCACTAAATATAGAATAGGGTGCTATTTGGGACGCAAACATAATCTACCAGCTGGGGAATGGAAGGCAGAAAATGTAGCCGCCATCTGAGAAATACTAGCTATCACTGTTATTATTACAAGGATTATACAAAGTTGAATTTGAAGTGCTATTTTGGAGCGCTATTGGCTTGGCGTGTATAGAAATCTTCCAATGATCTCACTGTACAATCATTACACAAGGACTGAGAGAATGTGTATATGGAGGAGCAATATATACATATATCAGTGCAGAGTTAGAATTTCAGATTTCATTATGACAGACCACATCAAAATGTCAGGAATGCATTTGACTGGGTATGGAATGTTTTCTAAATGCATCGCTGTTACTCAGGACTTCAACTCCCTATGACAATACAGTTTTGTATACAGAGTTAGAATCCATTCATATATAAATCCTTCTTTAACCTTCATCTACACTGATTGAAGTGGATTTAACAAGGTGACATCAAAAAGGGGATCATAGCTTTCACCTGGATAGTCCATGTCATGGAAAGAGCAGGTGTTCATAATGTTCTGTACACTCAGTGTAGATGGGGGTAGAAAAAGAAGACGCAGGAGGGTTAGAAAATATAGAAAAGTGTGAAGCCCCACCTCTTTCTGTTTTCCCTTCTCCGACACTGTGGAATAACTATCAGCCAGGCAGGATTTCCCATGTGGGACCTGCAGAGCACGGCCGTTCATTCAGTGGTTTCTGAATCACTGCTAACTCCACAGAGGCTTGTGTCCCAAATGGCAACCTATTCCCTATATAGTGCACTACTTTAGACCAGGACCGCTCTACTCCCGCCTCATCATCAAGCCGTTCTGGTCAAAGTAGTACACTATATAGAGAACAAGGTGCCATTTGGGACGTAACCAGAGAGACTCAGCAGTATTAGGGGAAATAAGAGCGACTGTCAGAGGTATTAACACCATGATCTACTGTACCTTGACTACCCCAGCTGCTAAAGTCAACTGAACCCTGTTAAACTCTATAGACCTATTGATGACTCCTTTCCCCATTTTTAACAATTGAGGGAACTTACAATCTACTTGTTAGGCTCTGCTGCAATATCCATACTAGCTTACCACTTAGAATGAAGCAATGTATTGTGGCATTCAATCTAAGTAGCATGCTAGTATGAGCATTGGAATGTAGACTATGAAGCTATGGTGTTGTGGCTGTGGCTGTGCCTGACCTGACTCTGTCTCTCCATCAGTAGCTCAGTGACCCTAGCGATGACCTCAGGGTGAACCAGGCACTGCAGTAGGTCGTTGGTGGTGATGGATACGAGGCAGTGTGCTCTGTCACCTTCACCCTGGTCTCTGTCCCCAGGTGATGGCCTTCCTCGATCTCTGCACCCTGGCTGTGGTAACACTTGGGGGTCTGAGGCTGAACTGGAGCTGGATATGCCTTCCCCTCCATGCTGGTGCTGGGCTCTACTCCCACTGACCGGTTTGAGTGGGGTGCTTTGTGTTACGCTGATAGGCCTGATTATGTCACAGTCTCTGGATGGGGATGGTCCGTCTTGGTCTTTGGGGTTCTGCTCTGTAGTTTCCTGTTTGGTGATCTGGTTCCAGGTCACAGGGATGAGGTGAGGGCCGAAGGGCACGGTGGATGGTGTGGAAGATGAGGATGACGAGGAGGAAGAACCCTTTGCTGGTCGTGATGAAGAGCTGGTGTTCTTAGCTTGGCCCCTGGAGTCACGCTTGGCCCCTGGACATGCTGGGGTGTCCTGGGTCTGTTGGTCACGGTGACTTGTAGTCCCCCTCTTCTCCATGCAGGCCCCCACAGCCAGGTTCAGGTACTGCATGTTCTCATCATGTCCCACCAACCCCACCTTCGGAAAAATAAAAAAGTTGAAATTATACTCCCAACCGTTTTATGAAAAGAACCAATGTTTCGGCACTATCCGCTTTACTGAGGGTTGACATACCTCAGGGACCATGGTCAGTACTGTGTGTTTACAGGGACTCTGTCTCCTAACTAGTCTCACACACGCAATGCTCTGTTTTGTAGTCTCTGTGGAGCTTTTCATTTCTTAACTAAAAAGGCAGGTTTTAGGCTAGGTATTCTCTAGCACAAGACCAGTCAACAACTCAAATGCTAACTGGAGCTAGACAGATTGGTCAATATGGGGGGGGGGGGGTTGGAATTCAGTCATCTCCTCTCTGTTGTTCTATGCTGCATTCCTGGGACTTTGTCTTTCCCTGGACCTCAGTCCACCGGGACAAGTTCCTCCCTCTGATCTGTGCTCTTATAAGGAGAACAAAATGGTTGGACTGCGCTGAGAATGATCCTGAGTGTGCATGGCAAATGTGCCATCAGATTCTGCGCGGTACAGGGGGTTCGATGTGGCAGTGCTACCTGAACTGCCAATTTTTAGTCAGAGTGTGAAGAGGGTAAGTCAGGGTCAAGATAGCTTGGTCCAAGATCTGTTTATGCTGTCTTGCCAACTCCTATGGTCATTGTCAATGACAATTGGCAAGACAGCACAAACAGATCTAGGACTCAGGCTAGTGTCAGGATACTGTACCTCAGTGGGATTGAGCCAGTCATCATCATTGTCGTCACTAGGTGTCGTCTTCAGAGCACAGACAATGGCTTTGGTGAGGGCCTCGCCTACTCTCGCCTCATCATCAACTTCCTGTATCAGATCAGGAAGTAGAAAGAAAAACTCCTATCAAGGGAAAGAAGTCGCTGATAAAGACATTATGTGCAGCAGGCGTAATTGATTGCGTCTGTGACCTTGTCTCAGAGCCAGTTATCAGGAGGCATTGAAGGTGACACACTACCTGAATACACACTCCTCTCATCTAGATACAGGTAACTTCCTAAATAAAGGAAACACCAACATAAAGTTTCTTAATAGGGTGTTGGGCCACCACGAGCCGCCAGAACAGCTTCCATGCACCTTCGCATAGATTCAGAATAGTGTCTGGAACTCTATTGGAGGGATGCGACACCATTCTTCCGCAAGAAACACCATCATTGTTTTGTTGATGGTGGTAGAAAATGTCTCAGGCGCCGCTCCAGAATCATAAGTGTGGAATATGGTTTGCATTGTTTTCATGCTCATCAAACCATTCAGTGACCACTCGTGTCCTGTGAATGGGGACATTGTCATCCTATGGGGCCATAGCCATGGTAGCCAAAATAATGGCCTGCCCAGCATTTTTATACATGACCCTAAACATGATGGGATGTTAATGCTTAATTAACTCAGGAACCACACCTGTGTGAAAGCACCTGCTTTCAATATACTATTTTCCTCTCATTTACTCGAGGGTTTCCATTATTTTGGCAGTTACCTGTATGTGAATGTGTTATGCAGCGCACCACTCCTCTACATGCAAACTCACAAATCATTATGACAGGGGTATCTTTACTCTGATGCCTGTTCATTACTCAAAAACCCACAGCATCAGGGAGCCTCAACACCCCTCACATCCATCACTGTGGTTGCGTCCCAAATAACACCCTATTCCCTATATAGTGCACTAAGTTTGACCAGGGCCCTATGGGCGGTAGTGGTAGCTAGTGGTGGGAAACTCTTCATCAAGCTGTACTGTAATTATGGCCCTCCTCTCAAACGTCCAATTTCCCCATAAACATACTTAACACCATTTAGTTGGAGGTGACTTTACTGTACGTACCAACTCAATCCAGGAGTTGACACTGACGGTGACGGGGTCAATAGACTCCACGTAGTGCCACCAGTGTCTGGGGACAAACAGCACCTATTGGAGCAAGAGGGCAACAGGGTCAGATGGCATCAGAAGAAATGCAAGGTGATCAGTAGGAATACGGATAAGGAACATATTACAGAATAGGAGCTCAGAAGGAGTCCAAAATATCTGGAAATGTCTGCTAGCAGCACAGCTCATAGTCCAGGGGACAGGAGAGCAGAGCATAGCCAGTCAATAAGTAGTAGAGCTGAAGGAGTCAAGGACTGATCAGTTCGATTAAACGTTTGCTACATTGCATGACGGTTTGTACTGAACGACACATTTCCCCAAAACGTTCTTGAACAGACTTTGAGGTACGTTTAATGGGTGTGGCGGGGTGTGGCTTGAAGCAATGAGTGACAAATTAAAAGGGCAGCGGCCATGTTGACAGCGTTTCCTTACCCACAACCCAACCCAACCCCGTTTTTCAATTGGTCATTCAGAACAGACCGTTTCCGTTTAATTCAAGGATGCACACCGTTTTTTCATACTGAACGCCACCTAGTTCAACACAGTGGGGGAGACTAGCTACTAGATGGCAGCTTGTGTCCTCCCTCCCTCCCTCCCTCGGAAGTGCTTCTGTCTCATTCATAATGTGGATTTGGTCTTTATTAAAGTGAACAGCCCTTATTGATCCCCTGGTTCCACTGCAGTCTTACTTCATTCAGTCTGGAAAGCTCTGACTGCTGCATGCTTTGTTTCATTTGCACAGACAGACTTCTATCTGATGCCAAGACAGACTTATCAATATCTGATGCCAAGACAGACTTATCAATATCTGATGCCAAGACAGACTTACCAATATCTGATGCCAAACAGATGTATCAATGTGTGACTTGGAAAACACTGTGTTCCATTGGCAGTAGTTAATCTAAGTTGACAGGTGAAATATTGCTAAGTGTCTTTATGATTCTAGGGGGTAAATGGACAGTCTTAAAAAGCAAAAAATCCTAACTATAAAACACCTATGGGACAGTTGTGCAGGATATCCCATTCCGATTTCTCATCCACAGTAGATCAGATTATAAACCAAGTGAACAGCCCCCACTATGTTTGCTTTCTGATGGTAGATGCACATAACTCTAACATCATACGGATTCTGCAGGAGGACTATGTTATCAGAGATAGTACACTATATAGTATGTACAAAAGTATGTGGACACCCCTTCAAATTAGTGGATTCGGCTATTTCAGCCACACCCATTGCTGACAGGTGTATAAAATATATCATACAACCATGCAATCTCCATAGACAAACATTGGCAGTAGAATGGCCTTACTGAAGAGCTCAGTGACTTTCAACGTGGCACCGTCATAGGATGCCACCTTTCCAACAAGTCAGTTCGTAACATTTCTGCCCTGCTACAGCTGCCCCGGTCAACTGTAAATGCTGCTATTGTGAAGTGGAAACGTCTAGGAGCAACAACGGCTCAGCTGTGAAGTGGTAGGCCACACAAGCTCACAGAACGGGACCGCTGAGTGCTGAAGTGCCGCCATTGGACTCTGGAGCAGTGGAAACGCGTTCTCTGGAGTGATGAATCACGCTTAACCATCTGGCAGTCCGACGGACGAATCTGGGTTTGGCGGATACCAGGAGAACGTAACCTGCCCGAAAACATAGTGACAACTGTAAAGTTTGGTGGAGGAGGAATAATGGTCTGGGGCTGTTTTTCATGGTTCGGGCTAGGCCCCTTAGTTCCAGTGAAGGGAAATCAACGCTACAGCATACAATGACATTCTAGACAATTCTGTGCTTCCAACTTTGTGGCAACAGTTTGGGGAAGGCCATTTCCTGTTTCAGCATGACAATGCACCCGTGCACAAAGCGAAGTCCATACAGAAATGGTTTGTCGAGATCGGTGTGGAAGAACTTGACTGGCCTGCACAGAGCCCTGACCTCAACCCAATCAAACACCTTTGGGATGAATTGGAATGCCAACTGCGAGCCAGGCCTAATCGCCCAACATCAGTGGCCGACCTCACTAATGCTCTTATGTGCCTGAATGGAAGAATGTCCCCGCAGCAATATTCCAACATCTAGTGGAAAGCCTTCCCAGAAGAGTGGAGGCTGTTATAGCAGCAAAGGGGGGACCAACTCCATATTAATGCCCATGATTTTGGAATGAGATGTTCGACAAGCAGGTGTCCACATACTTTTGGTCATGTAGTGTACTGTATAGCGTGTGCAACTTTCTTTCTTAATTTTTATACAATTCACTCTCCGTTAGTAAGCATCTCTACAAACATTTTGGGGTGTCCATCAGCTCATGCTTTTGACCAAACCATAGAGACACACGTGCTCGATTTTATTTCTGTGGTTCAAACACATTTGTCTCTGAGGAAACATTTTCTCATAAATTAAGAGATTAGCACTTTCACAGTGTCAGTTTGTACAAACAGCTGTGTTTGCTGAGTGGATTCTCTTTAATATACTTGTAGAGACAGTTCCATATGTTGCCCCTGTTGTGCTGGTTTCCTGGAAACAGTCTAGTCCTAGACTAAAAAGCATGCTCAAGGGAGAATCTCCATTGAACTAGTTTTTTTTGTCCAGATTAGGCTTAATCTATGTCCGGAAAACTGGTCCAATGTGCTGTACCTGTCCAGGCTGCAGCGTGACTGTGTAGGCCCTGGCGTGTCTGAAGGCAGGGAACCTCTGGAGGTCTGGTTGGAGCACGTCCACCTGGCTGAACACACTAGACTCCTCATAGGGGATCCTGCTGGGGTACAGACAACCCGTGTCTGCAGGGGGGAACAGGTGCCAACGCTTCCTAAAACACAACAGGGACTGTATTAACTAAGTGTCTCTAGGATCAGGTCATGTAGGATCTAGGATCAGTTTAGATTCATAATGAATGAATATTTATTTGAAAGGGACAGCCATCATCACTGAAGCCACCACAATGGTTATACCCTACGTAGTTGAGGAAATGTAAGAAGCTATAGTTCAATAAAATCCATCTCTTTATTGAAAATATCATGTCATGTGAGTTCTTTGTTGGTTAGGTCATTACCTCAATGTGAAAGGTTTCAACAGCCAATTTAAACAAAACAAGAATAGAGTGATCTTCATATGTGAAAGCAGTGAAGAGATAACATTCGAAAGGATCTTTTAAGCTTTTGTCGTAGACTCAGTGCTCCACATGAGAACTAATGTCTCTCTATTCTAAAGAGCCTCACCTCATATACCCCCCATCTCCCTCCCCCCACCCTCCAAATGGTTTTATTGGCATGGGAAATATGTTTACATTGCCAAAGCAAAATTACTTTATCTTTCAGGGGCCTGCGGAACAATCTGACTCTGTCCCCAAGTGACTTCCACCCCACCCCCTACCTCCCTAGCCCCAATCCCCCCCTTTCACTACCTTACCCCCTCCCCTGACTCTCACCCTTTTCCCCTCCTCCCTAGCCCCATCCCCCCCTTTCACTACCTTACCCCCTCCCCTGACTCTCACCCCCCTCCCCTGACTCTCACCCCCTCCCCTACCTCTCTCACCCCCTCCCCTACCTCTCTCACCCCCTCCCCTCCTAGGAAATAAAAAGCGCCACCTCTCTATCATCCAAAATAGATTTTTATATCCTCTTTCCTCAGAGTTAGAGGGATGAATGGTGGGTAGATCATTACCGTACAAACCCAGTTCTCATTGTGCTGATTTGCTGTATCTATTGTCTGCCTCCAGCACTTTTTTATTCTCACCTATAATGCTGCTAGATTGTTTCATTTTAATCTATAGTGCAATTCCGTTGGTGAAGGGGAAACATCCATCGTCTGCACCACTACTACTTGCAGCTCAGCGGAAAGGGAAAAGCAGTGTGTGGTATTGTGAGGTATGTAAAACTGGGTTGTGTTCATAAGGAGTCATCGGAGCAAAACAATTTGCAACAGGAAACTAAAGCAAGCGCTTCTTATTGGACAAGTCCAGGTAGTCCCGCTCTGTTTCACTGTGTTTTCCCCCCGCTTTGCACTACAGCTCTGTATAATTACCTTCCCTGCACCTGTAGTACCAGGTTATACCCATAGGAATCCAGGTGGCACGGAGTATTGGCACCTTCTGTTCCAATCCACAGTGTGCTGTCTCTCCCGTTACGACCCGGGAACCCAAACTGAGACCACACTACGTCCTGTAAGGCACACAATACAGTTCCAATTACTAACACTGTAATTACCAATCATAAAACATATATTCATGCAGTTGCTACAATCTCTCATATCAATTCCTGCTGTCATCTATTTAAATCATCTCATCTAACATTTATATATCTGTAATTGTATACAACACAATTCATATTCATGATACAAATATGACAAACCATTCAAATATAACAAACTGCCATGAGCAGTTTCAATATTATGGTATAGCAGCAATACATCCTCCTGAGGCAAACCTCCATTATCACAAGACACAGGTGAAAATGCAAACCTCATTCTCCATCTCATCGGTTGCTTAATAGACAGTGTAATGATTGGCAACAAAGGTTGTGTCTCAAATGGCAAATGGCAGACCCATATGTGCCCTGGTCAAAAGTAGTGCACTATATTGGAATAGGGTGCCATTTGGGACAAACACTACTGTATAGGAAACAAGACGTTTGTTGTCTGTAGGCTCTTTATCAAACCATTTGGTCTGTCAATCATTTCCTATTAAAAAGCGGAGGTAAAAAAAAAAAAAAACTCTGGGATTCTGCCCAGCACCCAGGATAATGAATCCATTACCATATTCAGGCGACTGTAAATGATAGACTGTGCAATCTTCACTTTCAGCAACTTTTAAATGGCACTATTCATCATGTAAAAAGGCCTCTGCCTGCCTGTCTCGAAGGCATGAATTTCAGCAGATCTGTCATAAATGCAGGTCACCCCATATGCATCTATTATCATTCAAGATAAATGAAAGAATGGAGTGGCCCGCTCGAACTAGAGTGGACTTTCAAGTCCTTTAGTGCCTGAGGACCAAAAAGAAAAGAGCTGCTGCCATTGAAAAGTCCCACTGAAAATGTCTGTCCCGTCACGAAAGGATATCATAATAAAAGAGAGAGAAAATGTCTGCTTTAGGCTCAGTTAGCTTCTGTTTTGCTGATGGGGCAAAGGAATTCATTAAAGATGACGTTCACCCATCTGTTTGAGATTTACAATTGTGTATTCTATTGTCAGGGTGTGGGAGTCAATTTCATTTTAGATCAGTCTATCGATCAATTAAAAATTCAAGTCATTACTTGATAATCATCCATTATTCTAGTACTTGAAAAAAAATACATCTCCTGACCTGAACTGACTGACCCATAGGTGTGTCAGTGCTTTGAACAGAACAGAGCAGCCCATGTGTTAAAAACAATGGCTTTAATTCAGCAGAGCGGTGGCAGAGCCAGGTGAACACTCCATAGAACTAGCCCCATGGCCTGAATCTGTCTAGCGCTAAACAGTCCTCTCCTCAGTTGCCCTCAAAGTTAGTCATCATTCATGACAATCGGAAAACAAGTGATTGAGAACAAATGCCTTACAATTCAATGTAAGAAATCACAGGCACAGACAAATTGCAGGATGACAACCTGCAATCTGATGAAAATATAATTATTTAGTATGTTTTTTTTTGTTTCCTTGATTATAGGATAGAGGTGCACTGTGTAGCATCATGAGATTGATTGAAGTGTGTGTGTGTGTGTGTGTGTGTGTGTCTGAAACAGAGAGTGCATTACCTCAAACATGGAGGGCTTTTCTTGGAGCAGCAGTGCGATGTATTTGTAGTCTGCATAGGCCCAGTACAGTGAGAGGGGGTAGTTAGAGAAACACCCCACATCTTCTGCACCAGTCTGCCCCTCTGTCCAGGACTGAAACTCCTCCAGTCTGGCCTCCACATATGAGCACTGAGTCTCAAAAAGAGGTGCTTTGACATAAACAAAGATAGAGGGACAGTTGGAGAGAGAGAGAAAGCCATAGAGAGTGAGAGAGAGGAGACAATGAGAGACAGACAGGAGAGAGAGACAATCATCATGATAAAATGTATTGTGCTTCAATAAAGCTATTAAAACATGTAATAGTCAAATCAATAAATTCCATGTCTAAACAAAATGTTTAATCAAAAGACCATTATAATGGCTTGAGATTTTATTTACACCCTGACTTCAATCATCTGTGCCTATTCTCTATTGGCGTCTCAATTTGATTTAGTCTGGTTGAACAATGTGTCAGTACCACGTGGCGGTACTAAAATGTATAATCAACCATGTTAAATTACACCTTCTGTCTGCTGTTGTCACAAATGATGTAGCTGTAAAAATTGATTTAGCAGTCAAATTACCCAGCTCCATATTATTGGAGGACGCAGTCTCTATTGTTGCCCGTGAAATGAATGATCTCTCTTTGACATAGGCTACTGAAGGCTGGCAGACCAAGGGCAATATTTATGCTACCAAATGTACAAAGCAACTTTTATGGAGCTTTATTTAAGACCATATCCAACTGAAAACCTTGCCAGGGACGACTGGAGGAAGCTTGAGGTCGACTGTTCTGCAGCTGAACAATGACTAATAGGCCATTAACAATGACTTGAGAACATTGGGAAGGCACAGTATACCATCACCAAAGCAGAACTAAACTAAACATAGGCTTACAGTTGCAGCTTTCTCACATATTTTCTTTAACTTTATGAACATAAATTATTCAGTAAATACAACAGTAAACAACAAGGTCTTTGGTGCCAAAGAGGCAACTTATCAAGGAGAAATATTAACAACAACCTAGCCATGCGGGATGCATAGCAAAGTGCTCAATGGCTGACCGCACTTCAATTATGAAGACTGGTGGAGTAGAATATCTTCACGACAATGCCTAAAGTTTTAGTGCACTGCAGAGACTGTGGCTGAGGTGATGTAAAGTACTCTGAAACACAATCAAAACGAACAGCAAATGCATCCAACAAGTTTGTAGAGTCACAAGCTTGATGTAATCACTGCATGCTAGGAATATAGGATCAAATACTAACATTTTGACTACTTTATTTATAAGAATCTTTAGGGGTGGCAATCATTTTGAACCCTACCTTTTCGAGATAAAAAAAGTACTACTTGTTAAACAAAATCTCTTTCTCTGAACAAATGTATTAGTATAAATAATATAATTCCCAACTTTTTGGAAGCATACAATAAAGCCCAGTATTTTAATTATTTATTTTATACAGTCATTATTGCTGATCTTTATCAAGGGTGTCAATAATTTCAGACCCCACAGTACATACAGTGCATTCGGAAAGTATTCAGACCTCTTCACTTTTTCCACATTTCGTTACGTTAAAGCCTGTTTCTAAAACGGATTAAATATTTGTTTCCACTCATCAGTCTACACACAATACCCCATAATGACAAAGTGAAAACAGGTCTGTGGAAATTGTCGCAAATTTATTTAAAATAAAAAACAGAAATACCTTATTTACGTAAGTATTCAGACCCTTTGCTATGAGACTCGAAATTGAGCTCAGGTGCATCCTGTTTCCATTGATAATCCTTCAGATGTTTCTACAACTTGATTGGAGTCCACCTGTGGTAAATTCAATTGATTGGACATGATTTGGAAAGGCACATACCTGTCTATATAAGGTCCAACAGTTGACAGTGCATGTCAGAGCAAAAACCAAGCCATGAGGTCGAAGGAATTGTCCGTAGAGCTCCGAGACAGGATTGTGTCGAGGCACAGATCTGGGGAAGGCTACCAATTTTTTTTTGCAGCATTGAAGGTCCCCAAGAACACAGTGGCCTCCATCATTCTTAAAATGGAAGAAGTTTGGAACCACCAAGACTCTTCCTAGAGCTGGCCGCCAGGCCAAACTGAGCAATCGGGGGAGAAGGGACTTGGTCAGGGAGGTGACCAAGAACCTGATGGTCACTCTGACAGAGCTCAAGAGTTCTCTGTGGAGATGGGAGAACCTTCCAGAAGGAAAACCATCTCTGCAGCACTCCGCCAATCAGGCCTTTACGGTAGAGTGGCCAGACGGAAGCCACGCCTCAGTAAAGGGCACATGACAGCCTGCTTGGAGTTTACGAAAAGGCATCTAAAGGACTCACAGACCATGAGAAACAAGATTCTCTGGTCTGATAAAACCAAGATTGAACTCTTTGGCCTGAATGCCAAGCTTCGTGTCTGGAAGAAACATGGCACCATCCCTACGGTGAAGCATGGGGGTGGCAGCATCATGCTGTGGGGATGTTTTTCAGCAGCAGGGACAGGGAGACTAGTCAGGATCGAGGGAAAGATGAATGAAGCAAAGTACAGAGAGATCCTTGATGAAAACCTGCTCCAGACTGCTCAGGACCTCAAACTGGGCAAAGGTTCACCTTCCAACAGGACAACGACCCTAAGTACACAGCCAAAACAACGCAGGAGTGGCTTTGGGACAAGTCTCTGAATATCCTTGAGTGGCCCAGCCAGAGCCCGGACTTGAACACGTTCGAACATCTCTGGAGAGACCTGAAAATAGCTGTGCAGTGACGTTCCCCATCCAACCTGACAGAGCTTGAGAGGATCTGCAGAGAAGAATGGGAGAAACTCCCCAAATACAGGTGTGCCAAGCTTGTAGCGTCATACCCAAGAAGACTTGAGGCTGTAATTACAGCCAATGGTGCTTCAACAACGTACTGAGTAAAGGGTCTGAGTACTTATGTAAATGTGATATTTCCGTTTCTTTATATTTAATACATTTGGTAACATTTCTAAAAACGTGTTTTTGCTTTGTCATTATGGGGTATTGTGTGTAGATTAATGAGGGGGCGGGGGGGAAACTATTTAATCCATTTTAGAATAAGGCTGTAACGTAACAAAATGTGGAAGAAGTCAAGGGGTCTGAATACAGCCCCTGAAAAGATTGGATAGGTTAAAAAAAAATCCCACCTAACCAGCAAACCTGTCACTGCTGATACCTATTCAACGCTTTCGGATACATGAGTGCCTAGGGGGTAGGAGCTAAAGGAAGTGCCTAGGAGGGAGAAGCTAAAGGAAGTGCCTAGGAGGTAGGGGTTACATGAAGTGCCTAGGGGGTAGGGGCTACATGAAGTACCTAGGGGGTAGAGGCTACAGGAAGTACCTAGGAAGTAGGGGCTACATTAAGTGCTTAGGGGGTAGGGGCTACATGAAGTGCCTAGGGGGTAGGGGCTACATGAAGTGCCTAGGGGGTAGGGGCTACATGAAGTACCTAGGGGGTAGGGGCTACATGAAGTACCTAGGGGGTAGAGGCTACAGGAAGTACCTAGGAAGTAGGGGCTACATTAAGTGCTTAGGGGGTAGGGGCTACATGAAGTGCCTAGGGGGTAGGGGCTACATGAAGTGCCTAGGGGGTAGGGGCTACATGAAGTGCCTAGGGGGTAGGGGCTACAGGAAGTACCTAGGAAGTAGGGGCTACATTAAGTGCTTAGGGGGTAGGGGCTACATGAAGTGCCTAGGGGGTAGGGGCTACATGAAGTGCCTAGGGGGTAGGGGCTACATGAAGTGCCTAGGGGGTAGGGGCTACATGAAGTACCTAGGAGGTAGGGGTTACATGAAGTGCCTAGGAGGTAGGGGCTACATTAAGTGCTTAGGGGGTAGGGGCTACATGAAGTGCCTAGGGGGTAGGGGCTACATGAAGTACCTAGGAGGTAGGGGTTACATGAAGTGCCTAGGGGGTAGGGGCTACATGAAGTACCTAGGAGGTAGGGGTTACATGAAGTGCCTAGGGGGTAGGGGCTACATGAAGTACCTAGGAGGTAGGGGTTACATGAAGTGCCTAGGGGGTAGGGGCTACATGAAGTACCTAGGGGGTAGGGGCTACATGAAGTGCCTAGGAGGTAGGGGCTACATGAAGTGCCTAGGGGGTAGGGGCTACATGAAGTACCTAGGGGGTAGGGGCTACATGAAGTGCCTAGGGCAGGGTTCTTCAATTCCGGTCCTGGAGGGCCGAAACACCTCTGTTTTTCATCCTCTCCTTCTAATCAGGGGCTAATTCAGACCTGGGACACCAGGTGAGTGCAATTAACTACCAGGTAGAAATAAAAAACAGAAGTGTTTCGGCCCTCCAGGACCGGAATTGAAGAACCCTGGCCTAGGGGGTAGGGGTTACATGAAGTGCCTAGGGGGTAGGGGTTACATGAAGTACCTAGGGGGTAGGGGCTACATGATGTGCCTAGGGGGTAGGGGCTACATGATGTGCCTAGGGGGTAGGGGCTACAGGAAGTGCCTAGGGGGTAAGGGCTACAGGAAGTGCCTAGGGGGTAGGGCTTGGAGTTTCTGCACTGGGCCGTTGTCTTACTCTTCTTTTCATGCTGTCTCCTTCCCATTCTGAACCGGACAGCCTTCCCTCCAAGGCATCGTGACAGGTGGTCTACAGTCCAGAGGAGCACTGGCCAATCACATGTAATGTTGAGGAAGACGGCAGGCCTCTGGAGAGATCCCAGGATCCTCTGGATTTCTTCTGGGCTGAAGGGCTTGGGGGTCATAGCTGAGCCTGAGGATAACAGGTGTAACAGGGTCAGGAGAGAGGTTCATCAATACAATCATTAGCTAGTTGCAGTAACTGCAGATCAGTGTAAAAAGTATTTGCCTAAAGTCGATGTGATTTGTGTCTGGCACACTTGTTGCCACATAGGCAATATTTGAATGAAAAGGCAACATGAGGAACGTTCTGATTGCCTGTCTTCTGCATCATCAGATCAAATGATCTTATAGGTAATTATACAACGGGTGGGTCTAATCCTAAATGCTGATTGGTTAAAACCGCATTCCAGCCAGTGTCTATTCCACAAGTTACCACCTGGCAAATCTATGACTTTAAAATTCCTATTTAGTCTGTTACATCTGACTGCACAATCCACTGTCTCATCAGCCCAGCCAGACAATTTATAAATTGTCCTCTGTTGCTCAATTGGTAGAGCATGGCGCTTGTAACGCCAGGGTAGTGGGTTCGATCCCCGGGACCACCCATACGTAAAAATGTATGCACACATGACTGTAAGTCGCTTTGGATAAAAGTGTCTGCTAAATGGCATATTATTATTATAAAACTTGATTTCCACGATAAAAAGCATCTAGACATTATCTCACATTTCTTTTAGACTAACATTTTGTTTTCAACATCAGAGATTTGTATAAACCTTGCTGTCTGTCTCTCCGACATTTGCAACATTGTTTCAATATTTAAATTAGATCTCCAGATGTCCCGTAGTAATAAACATGTCGGGAGTCGGGATGAGACAGACATGCAGGCAGCTTTTCTCAGCCAGTCGAAATTATGAATCAGCATCATTTGTATGGATATATACAGAGAACTATCAATAGAAAACAGGTCAAACGAAGCGAAGTGCAACTAGTTTGCTGTTTTTCCAGCTTCAGTTTGAAGTGATTGTGTTAGCTGTGTTGTTGGCTAGCTCCTATGAACAACAGTGTCCTGACGAGAGAGCACATTTTCTATGCCAGGCGAAATCGTACATCATTAGCTCATTGTTATGGATGTATCAAATCAAATTTTATTTGTCACATGCGCCGAATACAACAGCTGTAGACCTTACAGTGAAATGCTTACTTACAAGCCCTTAACCAACAATGCAGTTTTAAAAAATGAAGAGTTAAGAAAATATTTACTAAATCAACTAAAGTAAAATAAAATACATTTTAAAAAAGCAACAATAAAATGACAATAACGAAGATACAGGGGGTACCAGTACCGAGTCAATGTGCGGGGGTACAGGTTAGTCCAGGTAATTGAGGTAATATGTACAGAGGGGAGAACAAGTATTTGATACACTGCCGATTTCGCAGGTTTTCCTACTTACAAAGCATGTAGAGGTCTGTAATTTTTAGTTCAAGATGACGGTCAATCACCCTCGGACTGGGGCTCCATGCAAGATCTCACCTCGCGGGGCATCAATGATCATGAGGAAGGTGAGGGATCAGCCCAGAACTACACGGCAGGACCTGGTCAATGACCTGAAGAGAGCTGGGACCACAGTCTCAAAGAAAACCATTAGTAACACACTACGCCGTCATGGATAAAAATCCTGCAGCACACGCAAGGTCCCCCTGCTCAAGCCAGCGCATGTCCAGGCCCGTCTGAAGTTTGCCAATGACCATCTGGATGATCCAGAGGAGGAATGGGAGAAGTTCATGTGGTCTGATGAGACAAAAATAGAGCTCTCCGTGTTTGGAGGAAGAAGAAGGATGAGTACAACCTCAAGAACACCATCCCAACCGTGAAGCATGGAGGTGGAAACATCATTCTTTGGGGATGCTTTTCTGCAAAGGGGACAGGGCGACTGCACCGTATTGAGGGGAGGATGGATGGGGCCATGTATCGCGAGATCTTGGCCAACAACCTCCTTCCCTCAGTAAGAGCATTGAAGATGGGTCGTGGCTGGGTCTTCCAGCATGACAACGACCCGAAACACACAGCCAGGGCAACTAAGGAGTGGCTCCGTAAGAAGCAGTGGTCTAAGGCACTGCATCGCAGTGCTAGCTGTGCCACTAGAGATCCTGGTTCGAATCCAGGCTCTGTCGTAGCCGGCCGCGACCGGGTTGGCCCAGCGGGGGCGGCGCACAATTGGCCCAGCGTCGTCCAGGGTAGGGGAGGGAATGGCCAGCAGGGATGTAGCTCAGTTGGTAGAGCATTGCGTTTGCAATGCCAGGGTTGTGGGTTCGATTCCCACGGGGGGCCAGTATGAAAAATTAAAAAATTATGTAAGTCGCTCTGGATAAGAACATCTGGTAATGACTTAAATGTAAATGTAAATGTAAGGTCCTGTAGTGGCCTAGCCAGTCTCCAGACCTGAACCCAATAGAATATCATTGGAGGGTGCTGAAAGTCCGTATTGCCCAGCGACAGCCCCGAAACCTGTAGGATCTGGAGAAGGTCTGTATGGAGGAGTGGGCCAAAATCCCTGCTGCAGTGTGTGCAAACCTGGTCAAGACCTACAGGAAAAGTATGATCTCTGTAATTGCAAACAAAGGTTTCTGTAACAAATATTAGGTTCTGCTTTTCTGATTCATGCAATAAAATGCAAATTAATTACTTAAAAATCATACAATGTGATTTTCTGGATTTTTGTTTTAGATTCCATCTCTCACAGTTGAAGTGTACCTATGATAAAAATTACAGACCTCTACATGCTTTGTAATTAGGAAAACCTGCAAAATCGGCAGTGTATCAAATACTTGTTCTCCCCACTGTACATGTAGGTAGGGGTAAATTGACTATGCATAAATACATTTAAATTTATAATAAACAGCGAGTAGCAGATTAGCTGTTCAGCAGCCTTATGGCTTTGGGGTAGAAGCTGTTAAGAAGCATTTTGGACCTAGACTTGCCGCTCCGGTACAGCTTGCCGTGCGGTAGCAGGGAGAACAGTCTATTACTTGGGTGACTGGAGTCTTTGACAATTTTTAGGGCCTTCCTCTGACACCGCCTGGTATAGAGGTCCTGGATGGCAGGAAGCTTGGCCCCAGTGATGTACTGGGCCGTACACACTACGCTCTGTAGCGCCTTGTGGTCAGAGGCCGAGCAGTTGCCATTCCAGGTGGTGATGCAACCAGTCAGGATGCTCTCAATGGTGCAGCTGTATAACTTTTTGAGGATCTGAGGACCCATGCAAATCTTTTCAGTCTCCTGAGGGGGAATAGACATTGTCGTGCCCTCTTCATGACTGTCTTGGAGTTTTTGGACCATGATAGTTTGTTGGTGATGTGGACACCAAGGAACTTGAAGCTCTCAACCTGCTCCACTACAGCCCCGTCGATGAGAATGGGGGCATTCTCAGGCCTCCTTTTCCTGTAGTCCACGATCATCTCCTTTGTCTTGATCACGTTGAGGGAGAGGTTGTTGTCCTGGCACCACACTGCCAGGTCTCTGACCTCCCCCCTATAGGCTGTCTCATCGTTGTCGGTGATCAGGCCTACCATCGTTGTGTCGTCGGCAAACGTAATGATGGTGTTGGAGTCGTGCTTGGCCATGCAGTCATGGATGAACAGGCAGTAAAGGAGGGGACTAAGCACGCACACCTGAGGGGCCCCTGTGTTAAGGATCAGCATGGCAGATGTGTTGTTGCCTACCCTTACCACCTGGGGGCGGCCCACCAGGAAGTACAGGATCCAGTCACAGAGGGAGGTGTTTAGTCCCAGGGTCCTTAGCTTAGTGATGAGTTTTGAGGGCACTATGGTGTTGAACGCTGCGCTGTAGTCAATGAATAGCATTCTCACGTAGGTGTTCCTTTTGTCCAGGTGGGAAAGGGCAGTATGGAGTGCAATAGAGATTGCGTAATCTGTGGAGCTGTTAGGGCGGTATGCAAATTGGAGTGGGTCTAGGGTTTCTGGGATGATGGTGTTGAGGTGAGCCATCACCAGCCTTTCAAAGCACTTCATGGCTACAGACGTGAGTGCTACAGGTCAGTATTCATTTATGCAGGTTACCTTGGTTCTTTTGGGCACAGGGACTATGGTGGGCTGCTTGAAACATGTAGGTATTACACACTTGGTCAGGGATAGGTTGAAAATGTCAGTGAAGACACTTGCCAGTTGGTCAGCGCATGCTCGGAGTACACGTCCTGGTAATCCGTCTGGCCCCGCGGCCTTGTGAATGTTGACCTGTTTAAAGGTCTTACTCACATCGGCTACGGTGAGCGTGATCATACAGTCGTCCGGAACAGCTGGTGCTCTCATGCATGCTTCAGTGTTGCTTGCCTCGAAGCGCGCATATAAGTTATTTAGCTCATCCTAGGCTCATGTCACTGGGCAGCTCGCGGCTGGGGTTCCCTTTGTAGTCCGTAATAGTTTGCAAGCCCTGCCACATCCGACCAGTGTCGGAGCCGGTGTAGTACGATTCAATCTTAGTCCTGTATTGACTCTTTGCCTGTTTGATGGTTCGTCGGAGGGCATAGCGGGATTTCTTATAAGCGTCCGGGTTAGAGTCCCGCTCCTTGAAAGCGGCAGCTCTACCCTTTAGCCTCAGTGCGGATGTTGCCTGTAATCCATGGCTTCTGGTTGGGGTATGTACGTACGGCCACTGTGGGGACGACGTCATCGATGCACTTATTGATGAAGCTGGTGACTGGTGTGGTATACTCCTCAATGCGATCGGATGAATCCTGGAACATATTCCAGTCTGTGCTAGCAAAACAGTCCTGTAGCTTAGCATCTGCATCATCTGACCACTTCCGTATTGAGTGAGTCACTGGTACTTCCTGATTTAGTTTTTGTTTGTAAGCAGGAATGAGGAGGATAGAATTATGGTCAGATTTGCCAAATGGAGGGCGAAGGAGAGCTTTGTACGCGTCTCTGTATGTGGAGTAAAGGTGGTCTAGAGTTAACATGCTGGTAGAAATTAGGTCAAATAGATTTCAGTTTCCCTGCATTAATGTCCCTGGCCACTAGGTGCGTCGCCTCTGGATGAGCATTTTCTTGTTTGCTTATGGCCTTCTACAGCTCGTTGAGTGCGGTCTTAGTGCCAGCATCGGTTTGTGGTGGTAAATAGACAGCTATGAAAAATATAGATGAAAACTCTCTTGGTAAATAGTGTGGTCTACAGTTTATCATGAGATACTCTACTTCAGGCGAGCAAAACCTTGAAAGTTCCTTAATATTAGATTTTTGCGCACCAGCTGTTATTGACAACTAGACACAGACCGCCACCCCTTGTCTTACCGGAGGCAGCTGTTCTGACTTGCCGATGCCTGGAAAACCCAGCCAACTGTATATTATCCATGTCGTCGTTCAGCCATGACTCGTGAACCATAAGATATTACAGTTTTTAATGTCCCGTTGGTAGGATAGTCTTGAACGGAGCTCATCCAGTTTATTCTCCAATGATTGCACGTTGGCCAATAGGACGGATGGTAGAGGCGGGTTACCCACTTGCTGACGAATTCTCACAAGGCACCCGGATCTGCGTCCCCTGTATCGGCGTCTCTTCTTCATGCGAAATACGGGGATTTGGGCCTGGTCCGGTGTCAGCAGTAAATCCTTCGCGTCCGATTCCTTAAAGAAAAAATCTTTGTCCAGTTCGAGGTGAGTAATCGCTGTCCTGATATCCAGAAGCTCTTTTTGGTCATAAGAGACGGTGGCAAAAACATTATGTACAAAATACAAAATGTCACTAGAAAACAGCTTAAATAAACGCAAATGTAGCTACTTTACTACTCGACTTCGTCTCGGGCTAACAACACCAGTGCCAATATATCCTCCAAACACCGGCATCTCTGGCATTATCACTTAATTATACAACGGGTGGGTCTAATCCTGGACGCTGATTGGTTAAAACTGCATTCCAGACGGTGTCTATTCCACAAGTTACCACCAGCAAAAGATATGACTTTGAAATGCCTATTTACTATGTTCCATCTCCCTGGCAATCCACTGTCTCATCAGCCCAGCCAGACAATTTATAAACTTGATCTCCACTCTAAAAAGCATGTAGACATTATCTCCCATTTCTTTTAGACTAGCATTTGGTTTTCAATAGCGGAGATTTGTATAAAACTTGTCTGTTTCTCTGACATTTCCAACATTGTTTCAATATTTAAATTCGATCTCCAGATCTCCCATATTAATGAACGTGTCGGAAGTCGAGGTGAGACAGAAGGCATGCAGCTTTTCTCAGCCAGTCGAAATCATCAATCAGCATCAATTGTATGGATATATACAAATAACTATCAACAGAAAAGAGGTCAAACGAAACTAAGTGCAACTAGTTTGCTGTCTTTCCAGCTTCAGTTTGAAGTGATTGTGTTAGCTGTGTTGTTGGCTAACTCCTCTGAACAACAGTGTCCTGACGAGAGCTCACATTTTCTATTCCTGGTGAAATCGTGCATCATTAGCTCATTCTTATTAATGTCACTAGAAAACAGCTTAAACAAATGCAAATTAAGCTACTTTGCTGTTATTCTGGCTGCACTGTTTGACGTGACTGTAAGTTAGCCATAGTTGGCTATAAGCAAGCAATAAGGATAAGAACGTTGCCAGCCATTATGACAGTAAGAACGAACGACTGGGCCGCATCCATAGATACAGAACAAAAAGAAAACGACTGGGTCGCGTCTCTGGCAACCGAACCGATACAATGAACGACCATATATTATTTAATCAAAGTAACGTTTTTAATGAAAATATGTCAATCATTATTTGAATATGTTGGTAACCCGTTGTATAAAAGTGATAATGCACTCGAAGCCGGTGTTTGGAGGATATATTGGCACGGTTTGCTGGCTCTTTACTTCGTCTCGGGCCTAACAACACCCGTGCCAATATATCCTCCAAACACCGGCTTCGAGGGCATTATCACTTAAGCAGAGAGACACAAACACACACACATTACAACTCTATTGTGACAACAGCATAGAAGACTACTGACAGTAAAATAATAAGGATACATAACTAAACTCTCACCACACTTCACGAAAATAAACCTAAGTATGTAGTTTTGCAAGCACAGCAATCATTTGGGGCTCACCTTTCTTTACACGTGCATGAACAAATCAGAGAGGAAGTAAACAAAACTCACGTGAGCACCTTTTTTCCAAGTATACCGTAATGTGAAACTAAGGGGCCATTCCGACTCAATAAGGGCTGAAAATCCCGTTCACATCTATTGAGGAAGGGACCAACATGGATGACAACGGGTTTAAGTTTCAAAATTGTGACCACTTCCTTTCAGGCATGCGCAGTTAAGTTTGAATTGTAGGAGCTTGTTATTGTTTCTATGAGCAACTGATATTGAAGTTAGATACATTTTTTGCCATTGTGTAATCGAATATTGGACAGCGCGTGCAGATTAAATCACTGCTGAACAAACGCTACATTGTATAAAATGCGATGGGTGCTGCATCGAGCACCGAGAGCGAAAGGGAACCACTTATTTTCCCTTCTAACCCCGAGACTAGCATTCAGCCAGTTTACAGCCGAGTCTACGGGAGAAGATGGCTGGTTCTGACTCTGTTTTCTTTGCTGGCGTTCATGCAAGGGATGGTATGGAACACTTGGGGCCCAATTCAGAACTCTGCCATTCACGCGTACGATTTCGCCAAATCTGACATCGCCGTGCTGGTTCTGTGGGGGCCAGTGGGGTTCACCCCTTGGCTGCTATTTATGTGGCTGATGGACAAGAAGGGTGAGTTGTTTTGTTCGAGGTGGCAGTTGACAATACTGTTCTGGAACACAATGTCCTTTCCTTCATTTAAAAAATTGTATGTCTCCATTGCCTAATTATATTTCCCAATGGTTCTTTCATTGCATGGTGCAGCGACTTGGGGATTGTTGACACATAAATCCTGAAAAAAACGTTCAAAGGAGAAGGTATTGATGATTAGATATCATAGGTCATAATTGATTATGACGTTTTTCCCCCAATCAAATCATAAGAAAGGGAAACAAACATTTCCCTCAATGTATACACAACATCTGTAGAAAAAACTGGCCTAGTTTAATGTTGGTGGGCCTATGTTCAGATAAGAATAGTGAAGATATACATCCAGTCCCAAGGCTACCTTCAATTATTAAACCATGAGAAAGGGTCTGAACAACAGGTAAACAATCAAAATAATGTTTATATCTGTCATCCCATGGAAAGACTACATATATTTCACGTGATCACATGTCAAGTATTTCAAAAACACGTTTTCATGTGATGTTATGTGAAGTTAATGTGATAACTTGTAAAGCAACATGTGATAACATGAAACTACACAAGATCATATGTGGTGTTCCAGAAACGTGATTTTCCACATGTGAAATCAAGTGTTTTTTCTGTAAGGGATCATATGGGTTGGCCGCACAGATTGTCTGACACACAGAAAGAACATAATGTTTCTGTCTTTTCAGTAAGTTCAAGTCTTTTGTTGAGTAATCATTATGATCTAGCCACCACAGAATAACATGTTCCTGTACGAAATGGTGACTGACTGACTGACTGCCTTTTTTGCAATTTTTGCTACGGGCCACTTATGTTATTCTGTGAAATTGTGAAATGTCTTTCATCAAGCTCTCAAACAACACAGTCCAGTCAAGTCAAGTGTCGTTTACTGGCTGTTAAAGTAACACTCATAAGTGCTGCCTACCAGTCATGCCTGCTAATCACCAAACCAGTACCTCCACATCACCTGATTTAAAACAGTTAGCTAACACCCAGACCACACTGTCAGCTGACAAAAACATTTTATTTGTCTCCTTGGAAACATACAAAAGCAAATAACATATACAGCATATGAAAGCAAAGGGCATCTGTCATAAGTTTGTGGTTAGTGATTAGTTAGTCATCTAGGGACATCTCATGACAGTCTCTTTAAAACAAAAATATGAAGTGGCTATTGGGTGTTACATAGTCAAAGGTTATAACAGTGTCATATCGTTAATTGTGTTTCGTAACTTTATTCATTCAGGGGCAAATCCTAACTTCCTCCTCAGTCGAGTTTTCACTTAGTCTTGCATTGATGTCTATGGGAGGTTAGGATTCTCAACCCCTAAGTCAATAAAACCCCTTGAAATGTAACTCCTTAAAAGCGTGTGTTAATCTGTAGCATGGTTTGGTCTAAGGCCCTTGTCGAGCAGTGAGGTACAGTAGTAGTACGTAAGTCAATGTCTACATCCCAAATGGCACCCTATTCCCTATATTGTCCACTACTTTTGACAAGAGTCTGTGGGGTTTAAGGATACACTGCGGGCTTGGCTATAGCAAAGCCTCATCTCTAAGGTGAAATATGCTTGCTCCTGGGATTTCTCTTACCACCATTTAAAAAATGCTGATGATCTCTTCTCCTCTGTGGCATCTGAAAGGCGACAGACAGAGCCCATCATATATGATCCATCTGTGGAATAGGCTCCTGTAATATGCTTAAGTAGAGTGGAGCATACAAATGCTGAGGGTGGCAGAATATGTCAGAGAAAGGAGATCACTTGTTGTGAGTTTGCATTAAAGAGTTGTGTGCTGCGGTGCATCTGATATTCTGATTTTCTAAATCAACATATTTATAGCTTTAAAATTCTGCCATACGTTGATTTTCAGAGACCCATCAGGGATGTACATGCAGGCAGGGGTTATTATATGTTGCTCTGCAAATACAGTAGCTATGCAGTAACCTTCAAAAGATGGTGTGCTTGACTCTCAAATTAAGGAGATTATTTCCTAATCTAGTTATATTCCGGCATGACAAGTCACACTTCTTCTATTTCTACCTAGTACACTCAAAGTTGGATATTTCAGTTTCCGATTTGTTTCACTGCTGGGTGATTCCTCACGAAACTAGAACGAAATAAGACCATCATTTTTTTTTTTTTATTACTAAATTGAATCCATAGAACAGACCTTTGGAGGAAGGATTGTTGACATACAGTGGATATAAAAAGTCTACACACCCCTGGTTAAAATGCCAGGTTTTTGTGATGTAAAAGAATGAGACAAAGATAAATCATGTCAGAACTTTTTCCACCTTTAATGTGACCTATAACGTGAACAATTCATTTGAAAAACTAACTGAAATCTTTGAGGGGGAAAAATTAAAAATTAAAAACTCACAATAACCTGGTTGCATAAGTGTGCACACCCTTAAACTAATACTTTGTTGAAGCACCTTTTGATTTTATTACAGCACTCAGTCTTTTTGGGTAGGAGTCTATTAGCATGGCACATCTTGACGTGGCAATATTTGCCCACTCTTCTTTGCAAAAGCGCTCCAAATCTGTCAGATTGCGAGGACATCTCCTGTGCACAGCCCTCTTCAGATCACCCCAGAGATGTTCAGTTGGATTCAGGTCTGGGCTCTGGCTGGGCCATTCCAAAACGTTAATCTTCTTCTGGTGAAGCCATGCTTTTGTGGATTTGGATGTGTGCTTTGGGTCGTTGTCGTGCTGAAAGGTGAACTTCCTCTTCATCTTCAGCTTTCTAACGGACGCCTGAAGGTTTTGTGCCTGGTATTTGGAACTGTTCATAATTCCTGCCACCCTGACTAAGGCCCTGGTTCCAGCTGAAGAAAAAAAACAGCCCCAAAGCATGATGCTGCCACCACCACCATGCTTCACTGTGGGTATGGTGTTCTTTGGGTGATGTGCAGTGTTGTTTTTGCGCCAAACATACCTTTTGGAATTATGGCCCAAAAGTTCAACCTTGGTTTCATCAGACCATAACAAATTTTCCCACGTGCTTTTGGGGGACTTGATGTTTGTTTTTGCAAACTTCAGCCGGGCTTGGATGTTTTTCTTTGTAAGAAAAGGCTTCCGTCTTGCCACCCTACCCCATAGCCCATTCATATGAAGAATACGGGAGATTGTTGTCACATGTAGCACACAGCCCGTACTTGCCAGAAATTCCTGCAGTTCCTTTAATGTTGCTGTAGGCCTCTTGGAAGCCTCCCTGACCAGTTTTCTTCTCGTCTTTTCATACATTTTGGAGGGACGTCCAGTTCTTGGTAATGTCTCTGTTGTGCCATATTTTCTCCACTTGATGATGACTGTCTTCACTGTGTTCCATGGTATACAGTGGGGAAAAAAAGTATTTAGTCAGCCACCAATTGTGCAAGTTCTCCCACTTAAAAAGATGAGAGAGGCCTGTAACAAAATGAGAAAAAAAATCCAGAGAATCACATTGTAGGATTTTTAATGAATTTATTTGCAAATTATGGTGGAAAATAAGTATTTGGTCAATAACAAAAGTTTCTCAATACTTTGTTATATACCCTTTGTTGGCAATGACACAGGTCAAACGTTTTCTGTAAGTCTTCACAAGGTTTTCACACACTGTTGCTGGTATTTTGGCCCATTCCTCCATGCAGATCTCCTCTAGAGCAGTGATGTTTTGGGGCTGTCGCTGGGCAACACAGACTTTCAACTCCCTCCAAAGATTTTCTATGGGGTTGAGATCTGGAGACTGGCTAGGCCACTCCAGGACCTTGAAATGCTTCTTACGAAGCCACTCCTTCGTTGCCCAGGCGGTGTGTTTGGGAACATTGTCATGCTGAAAGACCCAGCCACGTTTCATCTTCAATGCCCTTGCTGATGGAAGGAGGTTTTCACTCAAAATCTCACGATACATGGCCCCATTCATTCTTTCCTTTACACGGATCAGTCGTCCTGGTCCCTTTGCAGAAAAACAGCCCCAAAGCATGATGTTTCCACCCCCATGCTTCACAGTAGGTATGGTGTTCTTTGGATGCAACTCAGCATTCTTTGTCCTCCAAACACGACGAGTTGAGTTTTTACCAAAATGTTCTATTTTGGTTTCATCTGACCATATGACATTCTCCCAATCCTCTTCTGGATCATCCAAATGCACTCTAGCAAACTTCAGACGGGCCTGGACATGTACTGGCTTAAGCAGGGGGACACGTCTGGCACTGCAGGATTTGAGTCCCTGGCGGCGTAGTGTGTTACTGATGGTAGGCTTTGTTACTTTGGTCCCAGCTCTCTGCAGGTCATTCACTAGGTCCCCCCGTGTGGTTCTGGGATTTTTGCTCACCGTTCTTGTGATCATTTTGACCCCACGGGGTGAGATCTTGCGTGGAGCCCCAGATCGAGGGAGATTATCAGTGGTCTTGTATGTCTTCCATTTCCTAATAATTGCTCCCACAGTTGATTTCTTCAAACCAAGCTGCTTACCTATTGCAGATTCAGTCTTCCCAGCCTGGTGCAGGTCTACAATTTTGTTTCTGGTGTCCTTTGACAGCTCTTTGGTCTTGGCCATAGTGAAGTTTGGAGTTTGACTGTTTGAGGTTGTGGACAGGTGTCTTTTATGCTGATAACAAGTTCAAACAGGTGCCATTAATACAGGTAACGAGTGGAGGACAGAGGAGCCTCTTAAAGAAGAAGTTACAGGTCTGTGAGAGCCAGAAATCTTGCTTGTTTGTAGGTGACCAAATACGTATTTTCCACCATAATTTGCAAATAAATTCATTAAAAATCCTACAATGTGATTCTCTGGATTTTTTTTCTCATTTTGTTACAGGCCTCTCTCATCTTTTTAAGTGGGAGAACTTGCACAATTGGTGGCTGACTAAATACTTTTTTTCCCCACTGTATTCAATGCTTTGGAAATTATTTTGTACCCTTCTCCTGACTGATATCTTTCAACAATGAGATCCCTCTGATGCCTTGGAAGCTCTCTGTGGACCATGGCTTTTGCTCTGAGATGCAACTAAGAAAATGTCAGGAAAATCCTATTAGAACAGCTTAACTTTATTTGTGATTAATCAGAGTCACTTTAAATGATGGCAGGTGTGTAATGACTTCTATTTAATATGAGTTTGAATGTGATTGGTTAATTCTGAACACAGCCACATCCCCAGTTATAAGAGGCTGTGCACACTTATGCAACCAGGTTATTGTAAGGTTTTCATTTTTCATTTTTCCCCCTCGAAGATTTCAGTTTGTTTTTCAATTGAATTGTTCACGTTATAGGTCACATTAAAGGTGGAAAAAGTTCTGACATGATTTATCTTTGTCTCATTCTTTTACATCACAAAAACCTGGCATTTTAACAGGGGTGTGTAGACTTTTTATATCCACTGTATATTTGAAATGTGTATCTTAAATCATAATTGAGAAATAATTAATTAAAGTTGGAATATTTGTGACATTTTGGCCTTACCCAGACCTCTCATATGATGCTTTACCGCTTGCTCTGTAATATGAGTAGTATTTGATTTCAATAATCCAAATTTAAAACTATAAACTAGCAGATAACTTTAATATGCCCATAGAGTATATTATGTTCAACAATATATAGAAAAATTAGCCAAATCAAAAATGGTATATTTGTCAATGTTCATAAATGTACAGTACCAGTCAAAAGTTTGGACACACCTACTCATTCAAGGGATTTTCTTTATTTGTACTATTTTCTACATTGTAGAATAATAATAAAGACATCAAAACTATGAAATAACACATATGGAATCATGTAGTAACCAAAAAAAGTGTTAAACAAATCTAAATATATTTTTTATTTGAGATTCTTCAAATAGCCACCCTTTGCCTTGATGACAGCTTTGCACACTTTTGGCATTCTCTCAACTAGCATCACCTGGAATGCTTTTCCAAAAGTCTTGAAGGAGTTCCCACATATGCTGAGCACTTGTTGGCTGCTTTTCCTTCACTCTGCGGTCTGACTCGTCCCAAACCATCTCAATTGGATTGAGGTCGGGGATTGTGAAGGCCAAGTCATCTGATGCAGCACTCCATCACTCTCCTTCTTGGTCAAATAGCCCTTACAAAGCCTGGAGGTGTATTGGGTCATTGTCCTGTTGAAAAACAAATGATATTCCCATTAAGCCCAAACCAGATGGGATGGTGTATTGCTGAGAAGTGCTGTGGGAGCCATGCTGGTTAAGTGTGCCTTAAATTCTAAATAAATTACATACAGTGTCACCAGCAAAGCACCTCCACACCATATCACCTCTTCCTCCATGCTTTACACATGCGAACTACACATGCGGAGATCATCCGTTCACCCACACAGCGTCTCACAAAGACACGGCGGTTGGAACCAAAAATCTCCAATTTGGACTCCAGACCAAAGGACACATTTCCACCGGTTTAATGTCCATTGCTCGTGTTTCTTGGCCCAAGCAAGTATTTTCTTCTTATTGGTGTCCTTTAGTAGTGGTTTCTTAACAGCAATTCGACCATGAAGGCCGGATTCGCACAGTCTCCTCTGAACATTTGATGTTGAGATGTGTCTGTGACTTGAACTCTGAAGCATTTATTTGGGCTGCAATTTCTGAGGCTGGTAACTCTAATGAACGTATCCTCTGCAGCAGAGGTAACTCTGGGTCTTCCATTCTTGTGGTGGTCCTCATGAGAGCCAGTTTCATCATAGCGCTTGATGGTTTTTGCGACTGCACTTGAATAAACTTTCTAAGTTCTTGAAATGTTCCATATTGACTGACCTTCATGTCTTAAAGTAATGATGGACTGTTGTTTCTCTTTGCTTTTTTGAGCTGTTCTTGCCATAATATGGATTTGGTCTTTTACCAAATAGGGCTTTCTTCTGTATACCCCCCCCCCCCCTACCTTGTCACAACACAACTGATTGGCTCAAACTCATTAAGAAGGAAAGAAATTCCACAAATTAACTTTTAAGAAGGCACACCTGTTAATTGAAATGCATTCCAGGTGACTACCTCATGAAGCTGGTTGAGAGAATGCCAAGAGTGTGCAAAGCTGTCATCAAGGCAAAGGGTGGCTATTTGAAGAATCTCAAATATTAAATATATTTTGATTTGTTTAACACTTTTTTGGTTACTACATGATTCCATGTGTTATTTCATAGTTTTGATGTCTTCACTATTATTCTACAATGTAAAAAATTGTATAAAATAAAGAAAAACCCTTGAATGAGTAGGTGTCCAAACTTTAGACTGGTAGTGTATGTAAGAAGTGTGTTTTTTAAATCAAAATACTACTCATTTTACAAAGCTTTGTAGCACCTAAAGATATCATTTCATATAGTCTTAAAGGAGGCCTGGGTGAGGCCAAAATGTTACAAACTACAATTGCAATTACAAAAGTAATTCTCAAATATATGTAAACTCTCCTACCTCTAAAGGATCCTACTATGGATACAAAATCCCCCAAATCATGGTATTTCTCTGTTCTAGTTTCGTGAGGAATCTCCCTGCTATAGTATGTAGGCCAAACCAGATGAAAGGCAGCTGTAGCGACTGCCTGGTAGAGATTAGAATGAAAGTTATTTTGTACACAAAGAATCCACATACCAGCATCTGCCGTTGTTTAGTCGTGCCCTCTTTAGTACAGAGAAATAGGCCAATCTGACAGACAGGAACAGAGTGTTCCTAACAGGAACCCGAAGAAACATTGAGACACCGATATTTCTCTGCATTTCATATCAGATCAAAGTAAAAATAATAATATTATGCCATTTAGCAGACGCTTTTATCCAAAGCGACTTACAGTCATGCGTGCATACATTTATTTTATTTTTTTTGTGTATGGGTGGTCCCGGGGATCGAACCCACTACCTTGGCGTTACAAGCGCCGTGCTCTACCAGCTGAGCTACAGAGGACCACAAGTCATATTTTAGTTTGTAATTCTAGTAATTTGTCACCAATAATTGTGTACTTTCTCGACTAGTGACTCTCACTCATCACTACCAAGAGGAAATGAGAGAACAGAGAACAGATAATGACTCTATGGGAACAGAAGTTCCCTTAAATGAAGGTCATGTGGTGGAAACTGAAAATGTAGGCTTAAGTCAGACAGAAAGCTGAATATCTCTGGGTTTTGTATAAGGAACAGAATTGGGATGTTGTGGTTTGGAGGGAGATGACTGGGGACTCGTGATTCATATTTGGGATAATGTATAGAATGAGGTCTCAACAATTATACAAAATAACCTCCACCTTTTCTCTCTGTACTCCCCACCCCAAATCTCTCCCCACCCCACCTCTCACCATTTCACCTCTCCCCTCTCCACCTCTCCCCTCCTGTGCTGCAGGTCTGCGGGCGTCTCTTTTACTGTCAGCCTTCTTCATGGTGCTGGGTGCTGCGCTGCGAAGTGTCCCTGTAACAGACCTCCAACTAAGGCGATGGTAACACCCCACACACCCCCTCACAACCAGAGCTGTACTGTATACACTCTTTATAAAACGGGTTGTTTGGAACCTGGCAATACTTTCCCATACAAAATCATGCCCCATATAGGGCTGTGGTGGTCATGACATTTTGTCTGCCAGTTATTGTCATGCGAGAGACATTGTACAGTAACTACCTGTGTTTCTGTCTGAAAGTTGGCTATGTTGCCTTTTATATTTTTGTAATGAACATGTGAACTATGCTAAGATGAGAAAGAATCATGTCCTCACGATAATTGACCGTTAATTAGCATAAACATGTTTAGCATCTCCAGTCCTCCACGCATACAAGCCTCATACAAGCCACTGATGCATGCCTTTGGAACATCTACATTTAAAACAGTCTAATAATAATAATAATCAGGTCTAAAGAAACATTATGATACGTATGAAGAAAATGTATTTCAGAAGAACAGAATATGAGTTGGCCTACTGTATGTTATCTGGCTAAGTACCATGCCATAGGCTGTAGGCTTGTTCATTTAGCAGACAAGATATTCGTATAAGTCCCGTGCCATTATTTTATATTATAAACTGGGTGATTCGAGCCCTGAAAACGGATTGGCTGAAAGTCGTGGTATATCAGACCGTATACCACAACATTTATTTTTACTGCTCTAATCAGGTTGGAAACCAGTTTATCATAGCAATAAGGCACCTCGGGGGATTGTGGTATATTGCCAATATAGCACAGCTAAGGGCTGTATCCAGGCACTCCGTGTTGCGTTGTGCTTAAGAACAGCCCTTAGCTGTGGTTTAGACCACACCCCCTCCAGCCTTATTGCTTAATTATGATTTTATAGTAACAAGAATATAATTGAACTTAGCTGAATAAAATAGAAAGGATATTTTTCCCATTCCAGAGCGAGTGCACATGCATATGAAGTGGCTGTGTTGAGCATAAAAGCGATCATTTGAAACAGGTCCTATACGCTAGATTTAGAGTTATTTGGAAACTTTAGTTGTGAATGATACAAACCTTAGAATGTCTTAGAAATCAAAACATATATGGGCTGCATGATGCGATCATTTGAAACAGGTCATACACGCTAGATTCAGAATTATTTGGCAACTTTAGTTGTGAACGATAGTTGTGAACGATAGAATGTCTTAGAAATCAAAACTTATATGGGCTGCATGATGTGACTATAGGCTATTGATGATTTGAGAAAGTCACAAAAAAAGCTTGCATTCTGTTCCTTGCCTCAGGCTGCACAGCTGTTCTCTCATCAAGTGATCATATTTTCACCCATCAGACTATTCTCAATTTAATCTCATCTTTACTAATATGTCAAATTTATTTTGATTTAGAATGGCCCATTATCAAGTGGGTAGGAACAGGGGCATGGGAAAAATACATGTCATCCGTATGCACTAGAATAGCGAATGGAGGTCACTTTCCAGCCAGTTGCTGGGTAGGATATTTCACTCCAAACATCAACCACTGTTTGAGAAGCATGCAGCCTCGCTGCGCCACAGGTGATATTCCACCCAAACTCTGTATGCCATGGGCTCTCTAACCCTGTTCCTGCATCTACCCAGTGCTTCATTTGGGAAATCAAGTGAAGTCTGTTCAGTAACATCGAAACATATTTAATTAAACTGTTGACAGCCCCTCTCTCTGCACGCTTGAGAGGGGAGGAGATGGAAACGCACAGTGGTAAAATATTCTGTAGCCAAAGGTAATGTGTCACCCAATTAATTATGAAAACATAAAAAATACCCTATTACTAGGCTATTCAAAATTAAATACAAATTCACTATAATTGTAGACTAACTGTAAGCCGCCCTGCACAATCAATGAACCAACAGCATCGCCTAGGCCTATACGGTTCTCTGCCATGTGTACAGTGAGGGAAAAAAGTATTTGATCCCCTGCTGATTTTGTATGTTTGCCCACTGACAAAGACATGATCAGTCTATAATTTTAATGGTAGGTTTATTTGAACAGTGAGAGACAGAATAACAACCAAAAAATCCAGAAAAACGCATGTCAAAAATGTTATAAATTGATTTGCATTTTAATGAGGGAAATAAGTATTTGACCCCTCAGCAAAACATGACTTAGTACTTGGTGGCAAAACCCTTGTTGGCAATCACAGAGGTCAGACGTTTCTTGTAGTTGGCCACCAGGTTTGCACACATCTCAGGAGGGATTTTGTCCCACTCCTCTTTGCAGATCTTCTCCAAGTCATTAAGGTTTCGAGGCTGACGTTTGGCAACTCGAACCTTCAGCTCCCTCCACAGATTTCCTATGGGATTAAGGTCTGGAAAATGGCTAGGCCACTCCAGGACCTTAATGTGCTCTTCTTGAGCCACTCCTTTGTTGCCTTGGCCGTGTGTTTTGGGTCATTGTCATGCTGGAATACCCATCCACGACCCATTTTCAATGCCCTGGCTGAGGGAAGGAGGTTCTCACCCAAGATTTGACGGTACATGGCCCCGACCATCGTCCCTTTGATGCGGTGAAGTTGTCCTGTCCCCTTAGCAGAAAAACACCCCCAAAGTATAATGTTTCCACCTCCATGTTTGACGGTGGGGATGGTGTTCTTGGCAGCATTCCTCCTCCTCCAAACACGGCGAGTTGAGTTGATGCCAAAGAGCTCGATTTTGGTCTCATCTGACCACAACACTTTCACCCAGTTCTCCTCTGAATCATTCAGATGTTCATTGGCAAACTTCAGACGGCCCTGTATATGTGCTTTCTTGAGAAGGGGGACCTTGTCGGCGCTGCAGGATTTCAGTCCTTCACGGCGTAGTGTGTTACCAATTGTTTTCTTGGTGACTATGGTCCTAGCTGCCTTGAGATCATTGACAAGATCCTCCCGTGTAGTTCTGGCTGATTCCTCACCGTTCTCATGATCATTGCAAATCCACGAGGTGAGATCTTGCATGGAGCCCCAGGCCGAGGGAGATTGACAGTTCTTTTGTGTTTCTTCCATTTGCGAATAATCGCACCAACTGTTGTCACCTTCTCACCAAGCTGCTTGGCGATGGTCTTGTAGCCCATTCCAGCCAAGTGTAGGTCTACAATCTTGTCCCTGACATCCTTGGAGAGCTCTTTGGTCTTGGCCATGGTGGAGAGTTTGGAATCTGATTGATTGATTGCTTCTGTGGACAGGTGTCTTTTATACAGGTAACAAGCTGAGATTAGGAGCACTCCCTTTAACACCTGGGAGCCAGAAATCTTTCTGATTGAGAGGGGGTCAAATATTTATTTTCCCTCATTAAAATGCAAATCAATTTATAACATTCTTGACATGCGTTTTTCTGGATTTTTTTGTTGTTATTCTGTCTCTCACTGTTCAAATAAACCTACCATTAAAATTATAGACTGATCATTTCTTTGTCAGTGGGCAAACGTACAAAATCAGCAGGGGATCAAATACTTTTTTCCCCCACTGTAGTATGCAGTAGGCTATGTATTGTATAACGGCACAATCATTATTTTAATTTTTTTGGGGCTTGGGCTCATATATAAACCTATGCGTATGCACATGGGTGTTTTGAATTAATCATCACCTTAGAAAGTGCTGTCCATTTCGTTGTGTTAGGCTTTGAAACAGCAGCCACAAGGACCATGTTTTCCACTCCATTTCAACCTGTTGTTGAACTTCCTGCTTCAAATTGATCATCACAGTGAGGTGAGTTTTCAAAGCAGGATACTGTTTTGATGATAAGTGTTTGATGTGATTTTTTATTTCATTTGCATTGATGTCAGAGTGGTTAGACGGACAATAGAGCGCTGAGTACCAGGCCATTAGGACCAGATGGTCGTTAGCGAGTTGGGTATTACCAACACATGTCCAGAGTGCATAAGAGGAGATTACCGTGACTCAACGGTCACGTGGAATTTGACTGCGGTGTGGCAGTAATACGGTCACTGCAACAGCCCTAGACCTACAACTAAGGCGATGGTAACACCCCCTCACACCCCCTCACACCCAGAGCTGTGCTATACTCTCATTAAAAAACGGGTTGTTTGGAACCTGGCAATGCTTTCCCAAAATCATGCCCCATATATGTATTGGGTTGGAAGATTTTTCCTCTGGAAAAGTCTAATCAAAAGTAGGCTACACAGAATTGTATATATTTATTACAATTACCAATATTGTGAATAGCTATGGTAATTTGCTGGTTTCAGGGTGCCTGGTATTGCTTTTAAATTGCAGTTTTAGGGAGGAAAGAAAATACCCATCTACTCTAACATAGTTTTGATGAATGAAAGCATTTATAAATCGCTAGTTTGCCAGTCGTATTGTTGTGTTGCGGTATTGAACTGTCGTATTGAAATAGTTTCTGCTCTTTTTGAATGCCTCACAATAGCAGAGACCTGGAATGGGATTGAGGCGCACCATTTCCTCCAAGAGATTAGAATTCTATTTAAATAGTTGAATTGTGTTGTTTTCTGTTGCTCTTATCAACTATGGCTTTCATTCACACTTTCCTTACTGTCATCCTGTTTTTTACCGCCTAAAATAAAATAAAAACCTGTCCTTTCTTTCATTGCTATTTTAAAATATAGGCAATATTTCCTCCTCTTTCTAAAACAGTACCAATGTGTTTGAAGGAGGCCCAGACAAGGTTATCTGAATTACTTTGGCGATAAAAGTAGTTTTATGACCTTCTCTATTGTTAATCTGCCACTTATTTCTTATTAGGCTCCACACTGACTTCTATTCGGGTGCTGCATTATTGGTATTTCAATTGAGGAAGGAAATTGTATTCTCTTAAATATAGCACTTTCAGCCACTGAATTTATGGTGTTAGGTTTGCTGATTTGGGGTCCAAAGAACAGATAAAAAAAATGTGTTGTATTCTAACTGCACATTTTCTCTGAGTGTGATTGGATCTGTAAAATGAGGACCATTAGTTCAGTTTATTGCTACATTAATACAGACTAAAAAGACTAAAATAAATATACAAAGATTGGCTCTCATTCTAGGAGGGATACTTAGAAAA